AAACAAGTAAAATAAGCTTTAATGTAGTTTTAAAACTCATTATGTAAAAAAGAGTGTCATTTCAGGGGCTGAAGAGATGGCTCAGTAATTAAGACCACTGATTGTTCTTCAAGAGCACCTGGATTCAATTCCTAGCACCCATATGACAGCTGACAACCAATTATAACTATCTGTAACTCCCATTCTAGAGGATCCTATGGCTTCTTCTGTCCTCTGAGGGTACTCCATGCATATGATGAACAGACATACATATATGCAGGCAAAATACATAAAATAAGTATAGTCTAAAAAGTTTTTAAAAAGGAAATCATTTCAGCATGTAAGCAAGGAGCTATAGAAGTGGCTTAGTGTTAAGAGTGGATACTGCTCATGCAGAGGACCTGAGCTTAGTTCCCAGCACCTATGTAGGGCAGCCCATAACTCTCTGTAACTTAAACATGTAATCAGTATAAAAATTGAGCTACACAGTGAGACCCTTCCTTAAAAAAACAAAATTAAGTAACAGTGCAAGTGCTCAGTAACCGTGTACTATATTGCATAGTAAAGAAAAATCTTTTTCAACTCATTTTAAATTCAGTAGAGTAATGGGCATTTTTATGAAGTCCTGTTACAGGGTATTTGAACACTCTGTGAACCCTGAGATTGTGTTATTTACTGGAAAAAAAAAACAACTTTAATCCCAGTACTTGGGAGGCAGAGGCAGGCCGATTTCTGAGTTCGAGGCCAGCCTGGTCTACAGAGTGAGTTCCAGGACAGCCAGGGCTACACAGAGAAACCCTGTCTCAAAAAAATAAAAAAAAAAGCAAACAAATCCATGCCCAGAAGCCAGGTGTTACTGTGCACCCTTGATTCCCAGCACCAAGGAAGCACAGACAGGCAGATCTGGGATCTATTTTGGCTTACCATGTCAGAGTTCTTGGTCAGTTGATCTATCATGTGGGTCTATAGTAAGGCAGAATGTCTTGGCATAGTGAAGACATAGTGAAGGGCAGAGCTGCTCACCTCAACTGTGGCTGGGAGACAGAAAGGCAGAGAGGGCTCTGTGACAAGATGTAGTCCCAATGACATGCCTCCTTACTCCAACAAAGCCTCACTGATGAAAGTTTCCTCACCTCCCAGAAATACCACTGAATTATGAATCCATCAGTGGATTAACTCACTGATTCAGTCAGATCCTCTCCCTTTAATGCATGTGTGAGCTTGCTGAGGGGTACATTTCCTATCCAAACTATGCACAAAATGTTTTGTTTGTTTGTTTTTGCTTTTTTTCAAGATGGCGTCTCACTATGTAGACCTGATGGGTCTTAAACTCACAGCCATCTTTCTGCCTTTGCCTCTAAGGTGCTGGTACTGAAGGCAAACATCACACTGGGCTCAGAGTAATGTTTTTAAATCCATAGAATAAAATACATAGAGGGCTGTATACCACTATAAAGTGTTTCTTCTAGCTTATACAAAGCTCCAGGTCTCATGTCCAATTCAAAACACACACACACACACACACACACACACACACACACACACACACACACACACACAAAGCTGGGGGGGGGGGAAGCAGGAGAAAGTGAAGAGAAAACTATAAAATCTTAACCCAGAGCAAAATCTGATAGAAATTCAAAATATTTCTCTCAACCTCTTTGAAGTGTTGGGATTTCTCTCAGTAGCCTAGAACTAACTTGCATGTAGATCAGGCTGGCCTCCAGCTCACAAAGATCTGCCCGTCTCAGCATCCTCGTGCTAGAACCAAAGCACAAGCAGCCACACCTGACCTCTCAGCCCGTTTTTGAGCAAATTAGGTTTCTGATAATGGAATAGTCCTTTTTAGTTAAAAATTACTTCTCCAGGTTCTAGAACATTGTGCAGTTGTTTTTTTTTTTTTTTCAAGCAACCTACATGAAATTTACTTAAATGCCTCTAAAAATACTTTCTTTTTTTTCTTTTTCTTTTTTTTGTTTTGTTTGGTTTGGTTTGGTTTTTCGAGACAGGGTTTCTCTGTATAGTCCTGGCTGTCCTGGAACTCACTATGTAGTCCAGGCTGGCCTCGAACTCAGAAATCCACCTGCCTCTGCCTCCCAAGTGCTGGGATTAAAGGCGTGCGCCACCAACGCCTGGCTCTTTTTTTTCTTTTTCTTTTCCTTTCTTTTTTTCTTTTCTCTTTTCTTTTCTTTTCTTTCTTTCTTTTTTTTTTTTTTTAAGACAGGGCTTCACTATGTATCTGTGGCTGGCCTGGAACTTGCATGTAGACCAGACTGGCCTCCAACTCACTGAGACTATATGTGGCTCTATTGTCTCCTGAGTACTGTGGTCAAAGTGTTTGGCACCACACCCTGCTTATAAAAATACTTTTAAAATGATTACTATAGTATAACATTACTAGTATCTACAAGCCTATTTAATGTATTACTCTTTATATCCACCATAAAAGAATGTTGTTTTTCTCCATTGCCAAGTAGGTTCAACTGATTTCCTTTCTCAAATGCAGGCCAGGCCCAGGTTCTTACAGTAACCTACTTAACCCAGTAAATAGACATTTTCTCTCCTGCCATCCGTTAGGGGCAAATAAAGTTTCTTTAGGAATCCTTTTGTGTCCATTTTGTCCTAGATCTCTTTTACTTGAACCATGCTCTTCAGGCCTGTGTGCTTTCCCTGGAAGGATCTTAATGCTTGTTTATACTTGTGTGGGTTTTTTTTTTTTTTTTTCGAGACAGGGTTTCTCTGTATAGCTCTGGCTGTCCTGGAACTCACTCTGTAGACCAGGCTGGCCTCGAACTCAGAAATCCGCCTGCCTCTGCCTCCCAAGTGCTGGGATTAAAGGTGTGCGCCACCACTGCCCAGCCATACTTATTGTTGTTAATACTTAATACTGGCTTTAGTTATAAATTGGTTAAAGAGGCAGGCTCAGAGGTTAAGAGCACTGGCTATTTTTTCCAGAGGACCCAGGTTTAATTCCCAGCACCCCAGTGACAGCTCACAACTGTCTGTAACTGCAATTCTAGAGGATCCAACATTCTTGATATCCTCTTCTGACTTCTGTGGGCAATGCATATGGTACATAGACCTACATACAAATAAAATAAAACTCTCTGGCTAATAATCTTAAATTTCTAGTGGATTCTTGCCCAACACATTGGTTGGTTGGGCCCCAGCAGTGAGAACACTGAATCCTAACCACTAGACCACCAGGATTAGAGGGGCTTTTGGACAGAGAGAGTGAGAGGACAGGATGAAGCTACTAGTTTCTCCTGGATTAGATGGTGAATCCACCAGGATTCGCCACTGGAGGATTTAGATTTAATATAGCTTACAAGATTAGGATTCTAGTTGACGCACCCTGCAATTGAGTTACCACTGGTTGATTCTGAACTAAGTTTGTGTGGTGTTTTCCTTCATGGGGCCTTTCGACCAGGTTCCAGAGAGAAAGGTACAGCAGCAAAGCATGGGTTTACCAGAAGTGTACAGCAAAGGCTGTGGGAGTTTTGAAGCCTGGGGCTGCCGTGGTAGCAACCCACTAGTGGGAACTTCGAGAGCTGGGTGGAGAGATTTTGGAGCTCTGAGTTAGAGAGTGTCCTCGAGATGAGAACAGGCCAGCCATTGCCTGCCAGTGCATGGCTGGCCAGCTCACCGGGCCAGAGAGTAGCTGGGTATAGCGTGGGATGGTGCCACTTTTTTATTATTTCCCACAACACAAATAAAACACCCATACACATAAAATACAAATTTTGAAAGTTTTAAAAATTGGGTAAAATCTAAGAGACAAGATTGGTTTGATGGTGTTACCTGACCAAATGGGAGCTAGGATAGGGACCAACTTCTGTCTATTTGTTTTGTAAAGGCCCTTGGAAAAAGGACTGCAGGCGCGGTGTTTGGTGGTAGTTATGTATCTAATGAAGAAAGTAAAAACAAGAGACTAAGTAGTCACTATTTTTACAAACAAGACATCTAGAACCATGTTTCAAAGGCTTTCTGTTACGGGACTGTGGAAACCTGCAGCATCAAAGCCGTTTCTGTGGCAGGGATGTTCTATGAAAGAACAGGGCCATTGGTCTCAAAGGGACTTTGAATTACTGGTTCATCTGCTCCTTTCTCCTCCTCCATTTAAAGAGTAGCAGCATAAAGTATTGTCCCGGAGCCTGCCTTAGTCATAAACTGGGCTAGACTTTGCCTCACCTCGTCATTTTTCTTTCACTTAAACCTCTGTGCAGCAATCTGTATGATATCTCCTCCTCTCATACTGCCTACAAGCTCCTCTCTACCCTTATTTTTTTTTCTTTTTTGCCTGTACTTTTATTTTGTCATTATACAGCCAACAGCATTGTACTGGCCCCTTTACAACTGCAGGAGCCCAGGCAGACTGCCTGATGAAGGGAGACAGCATTTGGCTAGTAGGACTGGTATATGCTATTATTGCTGGCCATTGGGCCTCTGTCATCTACAGTTCCATCCTGGCTCATTAAAACTGTGAGCCAAATAGCCACAAAGGCGCCTGCTGCAGCACTGTGGGGGCCAGGAAGTTAAATGGTTCTCCTAATCCTGCATAATTTATCTCCCTGTTAGTCCCCTCATAAAATACTCCAATTCAGCCCCACCACAGAGAGCTTCGTTCTGAAATTTCCTGATTTTGTGATGACCACTGAGTGCCCAGCCTTTCCCTTCTCTCTTTGTTGGTATTAGAAACTGTTTCACCCTTGTTAACTACAAGTTTACCTTAATGCTTTTCCATGCCTAGACCCCACTCAGCAACAGGCTGTCCTCCTGGTTGTACCTGATGATACAAAGCAGTTGATGATGTGATCTACCCTCCTCTCTTCCCTGCCTCAGTGCCATTATTTTCCATCTCTTCTATCGCTCCCATGGTTTTTCCTCTTTTCTTTTCCAGTCCTTCTTTTCAGGGACCAGTGTCATTGTAACATGTTTCTGTTTGGTCGGCCATTTTAAGAGCCCTGAATGGAGAAGCATCCCCTGCCTTTTTTCATGTCTCCATTTCTGTTTCATTTCAGAGATTTACAAATGAGGACCACCTGGCAGTTCATAAACATAAGCATGAGATGACACTGAAATTTGGCCCAGCCCGAACGGACTCAGTCATCATTGCAGGTATTTGTTGCCCCCAGATTCACATGCTTTGCTATCACCAAACAGTTAATTCCAGGGCCCAGATGTCCTGGGAGCTGCACTACCCTTCTCCAGTCAAGACCTCTTTGTGATCTGTATTTAATCAAGAAATAGCACTAACAGCTCCCTCAGTCCTACTGCACCTCCATTCAATTTTTAATAGTACGCTTGTGTTCTGTAGCTTGTGAGGACCGTGTTTTGAGATTTTGTCTTCCAGTCTATTCACTCTTCTCCTTCTATTTATTAAGATTCTGGAAGAGCTACAGACAAAAGATATCATGGACATTTCTCCTTATCCACAGTGGAGAAAGTGAACAAAAGATGGCAAAAAACAAAAAACAAAACAAAAGCTGCTTTAGCCTGGCTACTTCTCTTCCACTGGGTGTCAGTTTTCCTCTAGCAGGCAGATTATCAGTTTAGAAATCAACTTCCCTTGTGAACCTAACCACCATTGTGGGCACATTTCCAAAACACAAATAAGACATTTAGTCACTGGGACTTTCATAAACCAGTTTGTGTGACCTGGAACCTCTTACCAGTTGCAGATATTGTCTGCACTGTCCTCAAGGGAGCATTCTTAGCACTTGTTTCCAGGCTCTGCAGTAGGAGTTCTTTTGTACAGTTTGCAGCTAGATAGATGTGCAAAGCCAGGCAGTGGTGGCGCACGCCTTTAATCCCAGCACTTGGGAGGCAGAGGCAGGTGGATCTCTGAGTTCGAGGCCAGCCTGGTCTACAGAGTGAGTTCCAGGACACCCAGGGCTAAACAGAGAAACACTGTCTCAAACAAACAAACAAACAAACGATAGATGTGCAAAGCATGGTGGGCTTTTTCTTTTGATGCAATAAGAGCTTCTAATTTAACGTATGCAAAGCAGATTAGCTTAATATTTCATCAGTAGAGTACTTACTTGATGGCTATTACATAAATTAATAAACTAGTTAATTTATAATTTTAATAGTGACTATTTGCTAACATTACCTTAGACATGGAAAAGGAGACAGAACCTCCTCTCCTTTTTAATACATATGATGAAAAAGACTTGACTTTTACATCTCCTACTCTTTACTAACTCAGTATGTATTGAATATCTACTGATCTTCTGTGTGGGCTAGCTGCCTTTTCTAGGAGCTTACAGATTTGTGATTTGTAATCCCTGGAAAATATGAACAGAGACAATATCAATGATTTTTACTTTTAAAGACAGGGGCTCACTGTATAGCTCTGAGTGGCCTGGAATTCAATATGTAGACTACCCCAGCCTGAAACTCACAGAAATCCACCTGCCTCTGCCTTCTAAGAGCTGGAACTAAAGACTTACACCATCATACTCTGCTATTTTATATTATGAGAGACGAGAGAGCACAGGAGTGTGGATGCCTATGGAGGCCAAAGAGGGAGGAGTCAGAATTCTGAAGCAGGAGTTACAGTTGATTATATGACGCTTGCTATGGCTGCAGGGAACCAATGAACAGCCTGCTGTGATCTTCTTTAAGAGCATTATATACGGGCTGGTGAGATGGCTCAGTGGTTAAGAGCACTGACTGATGTTCCAGAGGTCCTGAGTTCAAATCCCAGCAACCACATGGTGGCTCACAACCATCTGTAGTGAGATCTGATGCCCTCTTCTGGTGTGTCTGAAGACAGCTACAGTGTACTCATATACATAAAATAAATAAATAATTCTTTAAAAAAAAGAGCATTATATACTCTTATTATATAACTACTATTATATTAACTATTATATAGCTACTGAGTAATCCAGCGATCTACCTCTTTTTAAGGCTGGATCTCACTGTAGCTCAAGCTCACCTTGAATTGAGATTGTCTTTCATTTACTTCCTGGAAGCTGGGATTAGAAGTGTGAGCCATTAGAAGTGTGAGCCATTCGAAGTGTGGGCGGTGGTGGCGCACGCCTTTAATCCCAGCACTTGGGAGGCAGAGGCAGGCGGATTTCTGAGTTCGAGGCCAGCCTGGACTACCCTGTGAGTTCCAGGACACCCAGGGCTAAATAGAGAAACCCTGTCTCGAAAAACCCAAAAAAAAAAAAAAAAAAGTGTGAGCCACTGTGTTTGACAGAGAAAATGTTCTTTACACTTCATTCAGTTTTGGAGTGCTGAAACCAATACCTACTCCTGTATAGGCTGGTCTATCTCCTATTAAGACACAGTATAGGTATGTCGTATGTATTCCAACCTCTATTGAACATCTTTAGTTAGCTGTAATTCAGATCTTCATTTCAGTGACTGAATACATCTCCTCCTCTCTGTTATTCACTGATACCAGTATTCTCATTCTTGTTGTTTTATTTTTTTCTCCCAGTTCTCTCTGTTCTAGTCCTTCCATGCATCAACCAGCATCTGTTACTGAATACTTAAGAAAACTCAACTAGTAAATAGAAAACATATGGACAGGGTGTGGTGGTGCCTGCCTATAATCTTAGCACTTGGGAAGTAGAGGCAAGAAAAGCTGGAGAGTTCAAGACCATCTGCAGCAACATAGCAAGTGGACAGTTGGCCCTGTTATTTTGGAATCTTCAGTGAAGCAGCATATTACAGTGGGGAGTATGCGGAAGGCCCTCAGTTCCCTTCAAGGAAATACCAATAATGATCTAAAACTTCCCATCCGGTTCCAGCTGTTACAGGTCCCATACCAAGGACTTGGGACCCAGCGTTTAACTCATGGACATTTGAGCAGCATACAAACCATGGCGTTCCTCTTCTTCCTCCCACCGTTCCCACTGTGCTTGTCTTCCTCCAATGTTGCTTCACTGGCCTCCTCAATGATCTCATTCTACACCATCTTGTGTGCTTTTAAAAAGCTAGTCTTTACATTCTGTTCTAATGGTACTGATCTCTCACTATGCTTTCTCTTTAAGGTTAACCTAGCCTTTCAGACTTTCCATAATCTAGCCCCATAGTACTTACCCAATTTTTAATGAATGTTATATGCATAAAATGCCAATCTTTTCATTTAAACATTGTTTTCTCCTAATCCATGTGTGATGGCCTTTCTCTATACTTTCACCAGCATTATTTCTCTTATCTCTTAAAGCTTCTCTTCTCTCTGCAGTTCAGAACTGTTTTCCCAGGCCTAGTTCAAGTCCTGCTCAAAGGCTTTCCTAACAGCCCTAGTAATTAATGTGTGTTTGTTTTATGTTTATAATAATTTTATTCTGCATCTCAAATAGCACTGATTTTTGCACATTGTGGTGCTCTCTACATATATATAGTTTTACTTCCTTAACTAAAAAGCATTCTTTTAATTGTCTATAGAAAGTCTCATGTCTTATATTTGGCCTATACCCTTGTGTCTTCTCCACATATGCATCTAAGTTTATGGATGTAACACAGAAGCATGTAGAATTATTCAGTAAACACTTAGGAATCATCAAAACCAATTAGGCTTGTTTGTATATTTTCAGATTGTTTGTTTAGGAACCAGAAGGAGTTGAAAGTTAGAGGCCATTTTCTCTTGAAAATGAGAAATCAGGTTAATTTAGGGAAGATTTTAAAATTAAACCAAGAAATGCACATGGGCAGCATGGTTTAGGAGAAGTGTATATGACTCAAGCCACAAGTCCCAAGTTCTTCTCCTGACCTCAATACTCTCCTTCAGTGCCCCTTTTCTTTGACTTGGATTTATGTTTTCCCTTTACTGAGGGTGATACCACCTCTCCTCACTCTAAGGTGGAACGTGGCTTTATCTTTAGCCAACTGAAATGTTCAGAGAATCTTTTAAAACTATTTTAGGAGATAGTGGTAACTTTTCTAAACAGTCTAATTCAGAAGAGGTTTTGTTTAGGTTTAAAAAAAAATGTTTCCATGGAAAATCCCACCGGACTATTTCCAGTTAATCATGCTAAAAGGAACAATTTCAACCTTTAGGTCTTTCCTTAAAATACAATTGAAACAGTAGTCTATGTCAGTCAGTCAGTCGAGTTGTTTGGGATAGACAAATCCTTGAGATGATAAGCACATCAAAGAAACCATCAAAATAGAATTAGTCCCAAGGAACAAGGTTCACCTTTAGAAAAACAGCAGGAAAAGAGAGAAACTATGAGCTGAAGTTCAAGTCACTTCAAAAGTTCCCATAGTTTATGAAGAGGTCTCACCTCCTGAAGAACAAAGAAGTGAGTCTTTGTGGCACATTGCTGTAATCCCAGCACTTGAGAGGGAGTGGCAAGAAGATTGTAAATTCCAGGATAACCTAGGCTCTTCTCCTAAAAAAGGAAAGAAAAAGCAGAGGCAGTGTGTTGAGACAAAAAATTGCACAGCCCCTGTGGGGATATTTTGACCAGCAAATCTAAACCAAATAGCCTGATTTCCGGATTTTGCTCTGGGCCCATGTCTCTGTGAAATAAGTGCTATTGTTTGTAGTTTCCTTTTCTAACTCATGATACTATTGTCTTGTTCCCTCATCTCTAGTTCTCTCTAGAATGGCTTCAGAAAGGAACAAACCTTTAGCTCAGTGACACACAGCCACTATTCCTTACTAGGTAACTTTAGTGAGCAAACTCAGCAATCGGATCCTCAGTTTGTGCTCTGTCAGATTTTAACACACATCTGTTTCAGTCTACTCACTGTAGACCTAGCATGGTGTATAATAAGAATGGAAACATTGCTTAACTTCAATTTTCAAATGTAGAGGTTTCATGAATCCTACTTTCAAGAATGGTTTGTTTTATTGGGGTTATGTTTTCATTGGGGTGAAAGATGTAAAATCCAGCACTGAGAGACGGTGGATATATTGCTAGTCACACAAAACATTGTCCTGTCTTCCCCCTGCTGGCCTTGAGACAGTACAACACAGACACCCTGTGGTAGCTGAGAACCACAATCCATCCATTAAGAATCAAAAAAGCCCTTCACCCTAACATAAATTCACTATCTCCAAATAGAATAAAAATACAATCCCTGTGCATCCTCAAGTTTTAATCTTATATTAAAACTAAATATATTTTCCTTTTCTTTTTGTGTCTGCAGATCAAACACCTACTCCGACTAGATTCCTGAAGAACTGTGAGGAGGTGGGACTCTTCAATGAACTAGCTAGTTCCTTTGAACATGAATTTAAGAAAGCTTCCGATGACGATGAAAAAAAGGCAAGTGTGACTGAAGAGACTTCAGGTGTTCTCATTGTGCCTTGGAAGAGTTCTGACAATGTCAGTAATCCAAGTCACCGCTCCAGGTCTTTTAGGGACAAGAGTGAGACAGGTCTCAACATTTAACTGGAATAGCCTTGTGTCACTGTGTATCCTAGGCTGACCTCAAGCCCATGGGGATCCCCTTGCTTCATCCTACTGAGGCCTGGGATGACAAGCGTGTGCCACATCTCATCTAACCTTAGGTAGAGATCTAGCTGATGTGCCAGTAAAGGTCTGTCCTCACCAGAACGCAAATGTTTCTACCCTCCAGTGAGTCATTAGTTAATATATTTTAATTAATTTCTCTGTGGGTATGGTACATAATGGTATATGTATGTGTCTGTGTCTGTGTTCTCATGTGTATGGAGACCAAAGATCTACACTGAATGTCTTCTTTGTCCCTGTTCACCTTATATTTTGAGGCAGAGTCCCCCACCAAATTAAGAGCTCATTCATTCAGTTAGGCTCGCTGGCTAATGAGCTCCAGGGACCTAAGAATCTCTGATCTCACCAGACCACTGGAAACATAGATACTCTGCTTTTATATGGGTACTCGGGGTCTTCAACTCAGATCATCAGTACTTTCCTGGTGGTTCCCTTAGTAATAATCTATTTGCTTCCCTTGTGAATATGTTGAAGTTATTAAAAGCATATGACTTGGGGGGCTAGAGAGATGACTCAGTGGTTAAAAATGCTTGTTGCTCTTAAAGAGGACCCAACTTCAGTTCCCAATACCCATGCTGGCAGCTCACAACCACTCCAGGAGCTCTGACACACACTTCTGGCCTCCTCTGGCACTAATACACACACGTTGTGGGCTGGAGAGATGGCTCAGCGGTTAAGAGCACTGACTGCTCTTCCAGAGGATCTGAGTTCAATTCCCAGCAACCACATGGTGGCTCACAACCATCTGTAATGGGATCTGATGCCCTCTTCTGGTGTGTCTGAAGACAGTGACAGTGTACTCACATACATACAATAAATAAATCCTAAAAAAAGAAGAGACATTGATGTACTCATATAAAATAAATAAATAAATCTTTAAAAAAAAATACACACACGTTGTACATGTAGATAATAATAAAAAATTTGAAGAATATGAATTGGGACATTGAGACAGATGATTACAGTAGATTCAAGGTCAGACTGAGCTAAATAGTAAATCCAGGTGAGTTGAGCTACAGAGTGACGCACTGATTCAAGCAACCAAACAAAAGTATGTATTGCTCAGATTTTATTAACTAACTTTTTTTTTTTCAGATATCTTTTGAGGGTGCTAGAGATACAGCTCAGTGGTAGAGTGCTAACAAATGAAAGTCCTGAGCCAAACACCACTCCCAATAAAAAAGCAAAGAAACAAACCCCACTATTTATAAACTGATTTCTTGGACAAATTTTTTATTTATTTATTTATTATTTACTTATTATTTATTTATTACTTTTTTTGAGAAAGCATCTCACTGCTATGTAGCCCCATCTGGCCTCAAAATCATAGACATCTACCTGCCAATGCTCCTAAGTGCTGGGATTCTAGACTCCTTTGGGTTATTTTTATTCAGTTATCCAGCCGACAGATGTGTTGAATTTCCTCTTTTTTTTGTTTCAATGTGTGTAATTTTGCATTCAAATAGATTCCTAGTGCTGCTTGATAATACCTAGGGCAGTGGTTCCCAACCTTCTTATTGATGTGACCCTTTAATACAGTTCCTCCTGTTGTCAGGACCCTCAACCATAAAGTTATGTTTGTTGCTATAAACAACTTTATAACTTCAATTTTGCTAATTTTACCGTTATGAATCATAGTATAAATACCTGATGTGCAGGATATCTGAAATGTGACTCCTGCAAAAGGGTTATTCCAACCTCCCCAAAGGGATGTGACCCACGGGTTGAGAACCATTGACCTAGGGCCTTAAAGAAAATTGTTTTTAGCTGAGTATGATAGCACATATCTATATTTGCCACACTTAAAAGGCTGAGGCAGGATGATCACCACATGTTTGTGACTCAGTCTCAAAATAAAATAAGGTTATTCTTATTACCTTACAAAGGAGGTCAACTTGGATGATGATGAAGGATGTCACTTTAGGAACATTCTAAAATATTGAGAAAGTTTTTGCTTAGAATAAAGATTTAATATGAATAAAAGTGCACTCTTGAAATATGTCAAGGAAAAGAAAAAAGAAATATGTCAAGGGTTTTTATATAAAAGAGGGATTACATGCCAGGCATGGTTGTGCACAATTGTAATTCAAGAACTCAGCAAGCTGATGTAAGAATATTTTAAGTCTGGCTACATAGCAAGTTCTAAGCTATGTGGTAAGACTCTGTTTCAAGCAGTCTGGCTTGAATGCAGGCCTTTAATCCCAGCACTCAGGAGGCAGAGACAGGCTGATTTCTTTGATTTTAAGGCCAACCTAGTCTACAGAGTATGTTCCAGGATAGCCAAGGCTACACAGTGAAATCCTTTATAGATATATCAACCCTGTTTTTTGATTTTTTTGTTTTTGTTTTGGTTTATTTTTTTTTGGGGGGGGGATGTATTTAGAGCTAGCTTAGTTGGTAAAGTGCTCACTTAGCACACACAAGTCCCTGCAAACTGGGCATGATAATACATGCTTGCAATCCCAGCATGCAGGAGTAGAGGCAAGAGGATCAGAACTTCTAGGTCATCCTTGGCTATATACAAAATTCAAGGCTAGCCTGGGCTGCATGAGACTGTCTTAAAACAAATGTGTTAAGTTTAGAGAACTGGGCCGGGCGGTGGTGGCGCACGCCTTTAATCCCAGCACTTGGGAGGCAGAGGCAGGAGGATCTCTGAGTTTGAGAGTTCGAGGCTAGCCTGGTCTACAGAGTGAGTTCCAGGACAGCCAGGGCTACACACAGAGAAACCTTGTCTTGAAAAAACAAAACAAACAAACAAACAAAAAAAAAAAAAGTTTAGAGAGCTGGAGAGCTCGCTCAGTGGTTAAGAGCACTTGCTGCACTCTCAAAGGACCCAGGTTCATTTCCCAGAGCTCTCAACCATCTGTAACTCCACTTCCAGGGTATCCAGAGCCTCTTCTAACTCCCTCAGGTTCATGTACCCACTTGGTACATATACACATGCTCAGACATGTATACATGTGAAGAAAAAAAGAAAAAGAAGAAAACATTAATTTTATTTTCTGTGGCCCAAAGACTGAAGCAAATCACTGTGTAGAAGCTACCACAATGTTCAGGTACATGAACACAGTTAGTAAAGATACTGTAGTAAGGACTGAAATGTTGGGGTTCTTTCTCATCCTAAGATTCTGTGACACTAATTTTAACTTTTGTATGTGCTAGATTCCCAGAGAATCTCTTCATTTGGAAGACTAGATGTTAGTTTTGAAAAAGCAAAATCAAAAGAAAGTGATCCCAGTGGAATAATGTGATTGTAGGAAAAAGAAATATGGAAAGATCAAATTGGGTGGGACAGTGTACCCCTTAGCACTTATAAGGCAGAAGCAAGCAAGAGGCCAGTCTGGACTACACAGCAAGACCCTCACCAAAGTATGCAGGGGAGAGAAAAGATCACTTTACTCTAGAGGTAGAATCTAAGGTTATTACCCACTAGTTAAAATCAGAACTTGGAGGCTAGAGAGATGACTCTTCCAAAGAAGCCAGCTTCAGTTCCCAGAACCCATGTTGGGCAGCTTACCTATAACTCCAGCTCTCAGAGAGCCAGTCCCTCTACCCTCCACAGACACTCACAGACATGTGCACAAGCCCACACAAAGACACACATGTAAACATAATTAAAAATAATAATAAATGTTTAAAATCAGGTCTGTAATTACATCATACTTCAGAAAAGATTCCAATTGTCTGTATAGCAGAATGTATTTATTAACATGTGTACCTCACAGATGTTGAATGAGGATTCAATGCATGTGGAAAGTTTCCACGAGAGCAGGTAAATTAGCATATTTATAATTGATGTTACCATTCAATTTAAATTGTAAAAGTGTAGGATAAAGTATCACTGGGGTTTTCTTCAAAGTTCATAGCTATCTATGAGGAGTTTCTTTCTCATGCTGTCTCCCTGCATATGGGATGTATAAATGGTTGCGTTCCCCTGGAGATAGAGTTACAGGTAATTGTTAGCTGCCTGATGTGAGTGTTGGGGATGAAGCTCAGGTCCTTTGCAAGAGCAGCAAGTGTTCTTAACTTTTTTTTGAGATAAGGTCTAAAACTGAACCTGGTGTTTACTTTTGGAGCTAGAGAAGTTGGCCAGCGGTCTCCAGGATCTTCCTATCTCTACCCACTAGAGTTGTGCTGCAATTGCACATTCCTGCAGACATGATTAGCCTTTGGGTGTTGGAGATTCAAAATCAGTTCCTTGGGCTTGTACAGAAAGCCTTTTACGCCGGGCGGTGTGGCGCACGCCTTTAATCCCAGCACTTGGGAGGCAGAAGCAGGCGGATTTCTGAGTTCGAGAGTTTGAGGCTAGCCTGGTCTACAGAGTGAGTTCCAGGACAGCCAGGGCTACACAGAGAAACCCTGTCTCGGGGGGAAAAAAAAAAGAAAGGAAGAAAGCCTTTTACTCCTGAGCCATCCTCTTAGCCCTAACTCACTTTTGAAATCAGGAAAACTCAGTAGCATGTGTTTGTGTTTCTGTTTTCAGTATTTTGTTTGCTTGGGTCTGGTGTTTGTTCATGAAATAGGTCTTCCTATATAGTCCTGACCAACCTGGAATTCATTGAATAACTCAGGCTAGTCTTAAACTTGAAGTAATCTGCTTACCTTACATATTTTATTTTATATTTGTGTATGTTCACATGTGTGTACATGTGTGTGTGTGTATATGTGTGCATGTGCATGTACAGTTATTCACATGCATGCATATGTACATGCCATGGGCTATATGTGGAAGTCAGGACAGGAGTCACTTCTGTCTATGGGTTCTGGGGACTGAGCTCAGGTCATCAAGCTTGTTCCTTTTATACACTAAGTCATCTCTGTGGCCCTCAACTTCTTTTTGTTATTGTTTTGAGAGAGATTCTTGCCATGTAGCCCAGGCTGGCCTGGAACTCTTTATGCAGCCTAAGCTGTCCTCGAGTTCTTTTATATGTCAGCCTTCCAAGTGCTGGAATTATATTTATGCACCACCATGCCTGGGATATCAAACTCTGTAAGCAAATTCAACAAAAATAGCTTTCCCAGAAAGTAAGATGCAGATAAAGACACTTGCCACCAAAGTGATAATCTGAGTCTGATCTTAGGCCAACACAGTGAAAGAGGGTAACTGGAGCATTTGGTGCTCTTTCTGAGGCCCTTGATTTGATTCCTAGTCCCACTGGATAGCTTACAAACACCTATAACTCCAGTTCTAGGGGTTCTAACACCCTCTAGGTAACTCCTTGGCATCAGGCACACAAGTTATATACATTCATACATCCAGGCAAAATATCCATACATAAAATAAAAATCTCAAAATAATAAACAAAGGAGAGAACTGACTTTCAGAAGTTATCCTTCATCCTTCATATGTTCTCCATAGGATACATGTGATCACACATATGTGCACACACTAAATAAATAAGATGAAGATATGGAATAAAATTTTTGCGTATCCTGCCTTTCACAGGTTTATCTTTCCTGTCTTTTAGCTCACTTGACATGTTTGGAGCCCGTTTATAGCTGGTCAGGCCTTTCTTTCCATAGTGGAATCCTTTGGTGTTCTGTCTGTCTGTCCAGTGATGGTTTTTCCTCCCACCACTGCACAGGTGTAGAGGACTATTGTCTCCAGGAGCATTTAATGAACCTGAAGTTTTCCTGAGCCACAGCTTTTGTAGGCAAGACCTCTTGGGAATTCTAAAGGAGACTTGTTTTTTTTCATAGAGGCCTCTCTTCCCATCAATGTTTGTCTTCAGAGATCTCAAAATTTAGAGCTAAATTGGCTCTGACATATTAGCAGTGTAGAAAAAGTGAGACAGAAATTAAGATCCTTTGGTGTTTCTCACTCTTGTGAGATGGAACAGGGCACTGCTACCTCTTTAGTACAAGTACACGGGATTAGTTTGCTGCTCAGGCTTTCAGAGGTTAAGGTAGCAAGTGATGGTACATATTTGTCATCCTAGCACTTGGGACATGGAGGCAAAAAGATCGTGAGTTCAAGGACAGTCTTAGGGACATAGCTGAGACCATATTTGGGGAAGGGGAGAGCAAAAGAAGCAGTAGGAACAAACTCAACTTTCACCAAGAGCCTAGGATATAGGAAGGAAAGAACAAAGGATTCATTTTGACATGAAACTGAGCTGCCAGGCCAACCCTCTTGTCATGGTGTGGCATCGGGGTTACTGTCTCAGATGGATTACTCTTCCCTGCAAAGCCATTTACAGCTCCAGTTAGGTCAAGTTGTTGTACCTCTGCCAGGAAAGTTCTAGTTTCTCCAGTACTGCCCCTAAGACCAAGTTCTAATTTCTTTTATTGATGGTATAATCACCCCCTTTTTTTTGTTATCCCCAAATCTTGTGCCTAGAGTTTCTAGCCTCCTGCCCTAAACAGACTGTGACCACCATCTAGCATGGCAAGTTCCCCAGAAAGGATTTTTTCTGTTTTGTTTGTAGTACTTTAATCCTTAGTTGGTCTTCTGTTGCTTTTGATAACTGGGTAACTGAGTATTCTGGTTGACAGAGGAAGTGTTTACAGCTCTGCAGTGACCAGCAAAGCTGGTTGGAAATTGGCAGGTACCTGATTCAGGAGTCTTTTTACTTTGCTGGAAAAAAATTATAAATATAATATTTGCATAGATTTAAATGACATCCATTTTATGTGTTTTTAGGCATTATAAGTACTTGCTTGTAGCTGATATTATCTTCATTTTGTAGTTAGCGAATAGAAGCTCCAAGAAGATACCGTGACTTGAGCAGAGTCTATATAAACCATGAGTCCACATTTCTTTGGCACTTGGCAGTTCAGTGCTTTGACCAAGGGCTGAACTTTGTGAAGCACGTGCCCTCATCTAAGCACTAGCAGCATGAACCTAAACTCTGTTTACTCTTTTTTTCTAACAGGGTGCTGTTGGACCCCTTGACATGTCTCTGCCTTCTACACCAGACATCAAAATCAAGGAAGAAGAGCCAGTGGAAGTAGACTCATCACCCCCTGACAGTCCTGCTTCTAGCCCCTGTTCCCCACCACTGAAGGAGAAGGTAAAGTTCTCTCCCAGGAGTCATTCGAAATGTTCATTTTGATCATAAATAGAATGAGAAGGATTGACTGGATTCAAAGGGATGACTGTTTCTCATCCACCCTTCATTTCCTTTCTCTCCTTCCTTCCTTTTTTCCTTCCTTCCTTCCTTCCTTCCTTCCTTCATTTCTTGACAGCATCTCATCTATGCAGCCCAGGCTGGACTTGAACTCAGCCTTCTGCCCTCGTCTCCAGAGTACTGGGATTGTGGGTACATAACACCTAGTTTGAAAGTACTCTTAAATAGGTCTGGTCCCATAGATTCATGTGTATCAGTGCTTGGCCACAGGGATTGGCACAATTAGGAAGTCGGGCATTATTGATGTACATGTGGCCTTGTTGGAGGAAGTGTGTCACTGTGTAGGTGAGCTTCCTTTCAGGTACTGTGTATAAATTACACATATTCCACCATCCATCAAACTCACTTCCAACTCTAAATTGAAGATTAGTCTGTATTTGTACCAGCAGAAATAAGTAAGAATTTTCATTGAAATTTTATTCATTAAAAAGAAAGTGTCTTTTTTTAAAAATTTTTTTATTGGATGTTTTATTTACATTTCATATGTTGTCCCCTTACCCCATCCCCTACCCACCCAGGAACCCCCTATCCCCTCACCCCTCCTCCTTCTTCTCTGTGGATGTAACCCCTACCTACCCCCCCCCACTCCCACCTCCCCACCCTCAAAATTCCCACCCCCTGGGGCGTCCAGCCTTCATGAGGTCATGGATCTCTTCTTCCACCTATGCCCAGCAGGACCCTCCGCTCTTGGGTGGGTGGGGGATGGGGTAAGGGGACAACATATGAAATGTAAATAAAACATCCAATAAAAAAACTAAAAAAAAAAAAGAAAGTGTCGCCGGGCGGTGGTGGCGCACGCCTTTAATCCCAGCACTTGGGAGGCAGAGGCAGGCGGATTTCTGAGTTCGAGAGTTCGAGGCTAGCCTGGTATACAGAGTGAGTTCCAGGACAGCCAGGGCTACACAGAGAAACCCTGTCTTGAAAAACCAAAAAAATAAAAAAATAAAAAAATAATAAGAAAGTGTCTGGGAGCTGGCTGGAAAGATAGTTTAGTGGGTAAAAGTTCTTGCCATATAAGCATGAGAACCCAAACTCAAATCCAGAAAACCCAGGCACAGTGATGCTACAATTAGACAGCAGGTAGAGATAGTTAGAAAAATACCCTTACATGCTATGTCCTTGGTGTTCACAGTGGCAAAACAAGAGCCCCTTTCTCAAAATAAGGTGGAAAGGAAAAACCAAACCCAGCGGTTGTCCTCTGACCTCCACATGTGTTTTGTGGTGTGTACATGACTACACTCGAATACAAACATATACATGTCATATACATACTAAGATTAAAAGAGAGAATGAAGACATTCCAAGTATCAGTCAACCAGAACCATGAATAATAAGTTGTGAGAGGCTGGTGGTGTTAGCTCAGGACAGCATTTGCCTAGTGTTCACAATGCCCTGGATTCCATCCCAGCAACAACACATTTCTCAAGTGGAACATGATGCATGTGCATTGACTGGGCTGAGGTTGAAGTTCAGTGGCAGAAGATCTGTGTCTGAATTAGAGTTCTGCTGCTGTGAAGAGTCACCGTGACCACAGCAACTCTTACAAAAGAAAACATTTAATTGGGAGTTCTACATCTTGATCCACAGGCAGCAGAAGGGGACTGTCTTCCACAGGCAGCCAGGAGTTGGCTCTGTTTCACACTGGGCAGAGCTTAAGCATAGGAGACCTCAAAACTCACCTACACAGTGACACACTTCCTCCAGCAAGGTCACATGTACCTCAATAATCCCCTACCTCCTGATTATGCCACTCCCTATGGCCAAGCATTGAAACACATGAATCTATGGGACCAGACCTATTCAAACCACCACAACCTACCTGTCCTGTGTATGACTGTGGGCTTAACACTAAGTACCACAAAAAGAGAAGGGGAGAGAGGGAGGGAAAGGATAGAACATCGTCTTGCTTGACTTCACATTTGACTTGTTAAGTTCTCAAAGCTATCTTCTCCTTAATCATAATCCCTCCCCTTTCTATAGACAGTTAAGTTCTGGAGAGTGTCTAGAGATGTTTTCAAGGCCTGTGTGGCCACCAACTACCTGAGACCCTAACTAGCTAACAGTGAGAAGCATGAGTTTTATTTCAATCTGATAGCTGTTTAAAGCTTCTATCAACCTTTTTTAATGAAGTCTATTGGAAACACTGGATTGTCCCACCACAGCATACCTTCCTTTTCCTCAATTGAAGGTCATAGGACATTTCATCAAATATAGAAAATCTGTAGAATTCACATGCAACTATAGTGTTATGTGGTATAGCATAGCTCCAAACATTTCAAATAATTTTTCAGTTGTCATCTCATTGGTATAGCCATCATCTCTGAAATGTTCTTAAAACATCATTCTTGCTGAATGGGTGAGGTATGGGTGCATGTTTGTGATGGAATTGGGTCACAATTATTTGTAATGCTCTTTCAATAAAATCACTGTGTATTTCCCTATACACAGTTCTTATAACATTCTGTGGTTTACTGTCTCCTCTCCCTAGGAAGTTGCCACTAAACCTGTTGTGATCTCTACCCCTACACCCACCATCGTACGTCCTGGCTCCCTGCCTCTCCACTTAGGTTATGATCCACTTCATCCAACTCTTCCTTCCCCAACCTCCGTCATCACACAGGCTCCACCATCCAACAGGCAAATAGGGTAAGTACAGAAAGTAGAGGAAACCGAGAAACCCCAGGTTTCCTTTTATTTTTTAAGATTTATTTTTATCTTTTAAAATTATGTATAGGCTGGGGTGGTGGTGGCGCACGCCTTTAATCCCAGCACTTGGGAGGCAGAGGCAGGCAGATTTCTGAGTTCGAGGCCAGCCTGGTCTACAGAGTGAGTTCCAGGACAGCCAGGGCTACACAGATAAACCTTGTCTCGAAAAAACCTCAGAAAACAAAATAAAATAAAATTATGTACAGGTGTGACTTCCTGTGGATGTATGCACATAAGCATAGGTGCCCTCAGAGACCAGAGGCATTGACAGATGCCCAGGAATTGGACCTGTGAGCTGCCCAATGTGGGTGCCATAAACTGAACTGACATTCTGCAGTATAAAGAGAGCCATCTAGTCAGCCCTTCTGAATCCATTTCTGCATTTTGAAATTATTTGATAAAAATGGAAACGTTTGATGTTGTTGTTGTTCTCAGATTTGTTGTTGTTTCGAGACATGGTCTTTCTAAGGCTCCAAGGCTGGCCTCAAATTCTCATCGTCCTGCTTCTGCCTCCTGAGTTCTGGGATTGATACTGAAGCTGGCTCCAGGAATTTATTCTTACATACCCAAGAAAATGAGTTGTTGAAATTATTTCCTAAAATAAAACATTTTATTTGCTGGTAGAAATGTTTAATCATCCCAAATCCCTAATAGAGTTAGCTCACAGCCATTGAATTCAATTAATTTGAAAGGTATAAAGGTTTTGCTAGACTGTGGGGCTAGATGTATAGCTCAGTAGACACTCTCCTGGCATGTTCAAGGCCCTGTTAATCCCCAGCACCAAAAGGCCACCAAGGCTTTGCAGGCTAAGGCAGGTAGACTAGAGCTTGCCTGATATGTCTAAAGCGCCTTTGTTTAATCCCTAGAAAACAGACTGTCATTTCTCACCATCTGTTTTCCCATGTTCAAGAAGATGTCAAGGTTTTATAGTCTTGCTCTATACTGTCCCCAATTAGAAGACTGTACAAATAATTCTCTGATTTTAGGACGAAGATCAGTAGGCAAAGGGTCAAGGCTGTGATATTTAGGGGCTGGAGAGATGGCTCAGCGGTTAAGAGCACAGAGGTCCTGAGTTCAATTCCCAGCAACCACACAGTAGCTCACAAACATCTGTAATGGGATATGATGCCCTCTTCTGGTGTGTCTGAAGACAGTGTTTTTTTATATACTCATATACATAAAATAAATCTTTTTAAAAAATATAGTGATATTTCATTTCTCCTGCAGATCTCCTACTGGTTCCCTCCCTCTAGTCATGCATCTTGCTAATGGACAGACCATGCCTATGTTGCCAGGGCCTCCAGTACAGATGCCTTCTGTTATTTCGGTGAGCTTTACAGTTGGGGCAGCCAAACCTACCAGCACACTGATTCCTCCCTTCCACCTGAATGATCATAACCACAGGACCCTCAGGGATATGTGGGCCTGGACTGTATTAGTTGTGTGTGGCAGTGTGCCCAAACTCTTCACTAACCTCTGCCAGTGCAACACTATGAAACACTAGACAAAGATTCATCTGGACAGTTGGCTTCTAGTCAAGGAGTTGATCTTGCCAACCTGCTGACTGGTTGACTTCACTCAGCCCATAGCTTCTCCTGCACTGCTCATCTCTTTCCTGAACGTACGCCCTCAGTCTTTCCCACAGAAAAGGACTGCAGAACGAGGTTTCTTGCTCTGTAGCACTCCTTAGGAAAGATATTTCCCAGGTTGTCCTGTGAGCAGGTTACACAGAACAGGCCTTCACATGCCAGTCTCAAAAACACTTCATTTGGGGAAAACCAATACTACCATGTCTCCTGATTTTGGTCCTTCTTTTGATTTAGCTGGCTAGACCTGTGTCCATGGTGCCCAACATTCCTGGTATACCTGGCCCACCAGTTAACACTAGTGGCTCCATTTCTCCCTCTGGCCACCCTATGCCGTCAGAAGCCAAAATGGTGAGTACATCTTAGCCTGGAGTACTTCTAAATGTTGGCCTTCTAAAAGAAGTAGTATCAGTCTAGATTTTTCAAGTGAACTAAGCAAAGGAACCTTCTGAGGTTTGCATAGCTAAAGATATTCTGCTGTGGGGTTGAAAAAGACCCTGATTTCTAAGTCTCCTGTCCCCACCCTTACAGCCTGGCACAGGCCATGGCACAGGAAGAAGCAGCACAGATTGTTTGGAATAGAACACTTGTCATTTCAGTTCCAGGATAACAGATGGAGGGCTGAGTGGGCGGGGAGCTGGCCAAGTGTTGAATAGCTGCATAACTAGCATCTGGCCAGGTTCCAGGAGAGAGCTTTCATGTGGGACCTATGGCTTCCACAAGCCCCAGTCCCCAGCTGTGCCCAGGATAATAGCCAGGGAACAAGAGTAGGCATTTTAGGGATCCAGGTGGGCACTTTTCTCTCCCTGTCATTTTCTTTTAGTTCCTCTGTTAAGAAAAAAATTAAGGCAAGAATTTTAACTATAAGATCAATAATTCAATATAAGTTCATTCTTCCTATCCTTGACAGAACCTCACTCTTGCCTTCTTAAATAATCTTTCCACATAGAGATTAAAAGCCACGCTGACCCACCAAGTTTCTTCAATCAATGGAGGTTGTGGAATGGTGGTGGGTACTGCAAGCACCATGGTGACAGCCCGTCCAGAGCAGAACCAGATCCTCATCCAGCACCCGGATGCCCCATCCCCTGCCCAACCACAGGTCAGTTGTGCCCTTGGATGAGCACTCTAGGTAGGTTGCCCCTATTCTTTATGTTACATCTGTTTTTCAAGAATCATGAGATGAGAAAAGAATAAATTTAGCTTTCTGGGTAACCAGCTATTTTGATAGATTGACTACAGCGAAACAAACTATTCATTATCTACCCACTTTCCTGTTAGACATAAATGTAAATAGCTTGAATTATGCAAAGCTATTGCAGAAGAGGCCTCTGTATCTCCTACTTATCTGTTAGTCGTGGCAAAAGTTATCAGCCACCTGATTAGATTTTATGACTTAAGACTCATAAGAATATATTAGGGGGCCAGAGAGATGACTCAGCAGTTCAGATCTGAATTGAACTTCAGAAGTCCTAAGTTCAATTCACAGCAACTACATGGTGGCTCATAACCATCAATAATGTAATCTGATACTCTCTTCTGGGACTCATACATAAAATAAATAAATAAATCTTTAAAATAGAAAGAATATATTGATACCGGGACTGGAGAGATGGCTCAGCAGTTAAGAGCACTGGCTGTTCTTCCAAAGGACCTGGGTTCAATTCCCAGCATGGCAGCTGACTACTGTCTATAACTGTAGTCCCATGGGATCCCATAACTACTTCTGATGTACAGTGTACATGCAGACAAAACACCCATATACATAAATAAATCTTTTTAAAAAGAATATATTAATACAATATATTATTACAGTAGTAAAATAGATGGTTCTCATTCCATCTGTTACCATTCTCATTACCAATCCACTACCTTTTCATCACACAGAAATTAAAATTAAAAAAAAAAAATTTAAGCCAGAAGAGGTCCCATTTAGTCACCCAATCTCTTCTCAACAAGGTCTCTCTGTTTTAATACAATTCTCTAGGAACTGAATAGCTCCGATTCTCATAATTGTCTCTACTGGACAGGTGACAGCGGCCTGAGATTGGTTTCTAGAATTACATTCATTGCCTCGTCTCTGTTTCACTGATGTCACCACCTGCTTCATCAGCTACCACCACATGTCCAGACATTTCATGGCCATATGCTGCCTTAAACCTTGGCCAACAACATGAGCTTTCATTTGTGTGTCTCCTTAAAAGCTAGGGCTTCCCACCATTCTGAACCACTTATTCCCCAAAGCTGCAGTTCTTGGACACAGTAAAGCACCAGCCTCTTCCTGAGCTGGGTGGTTTTCCTCATGGAGAAAGGATGCAGTGCCCTTGTCAGTCACTACTGAGTTCTTTGCTTTCTTTTTTTCATAGCTTTTCTTACTTGTTTTTGGTTTGGAATATTTTGAGGGAGAGATCTCAAACTCATGACCCTCCTGCCTCAGCCTCTTGATGTTAAAGGCATGTGCCACACCCATCTGTATTTTCTGAAGAAAGGCTCTTTATACTAAGATCCAAGCAGGATAGATCTTTAGTTCATTGTATGAGTTAGAACTTCCCTAATTTTTTCTTTCAAGAGATAATACTAGTCTAAATAAATAAATAAAATTACGTCTTAATTACTGATACTGCTGGATAACCAAGTTCAGTGTTGCCTAAAGTAATTTCCTTTTGTTGGAAAAAGGTCTCACTATGTAGCTCTGGCGTCCTAAAACTTACTGTGTAGACCAGGCTGGCCTCAAACTCAAATAGATCTGCCTGCCTCTGCCTCCTGAGTGCTGGTATTAGAGGTAAGCATCTTTCTTTTCTGTTTTTTGTTTCTTTTTTTTCTTTTTCTTTTTCTTTTTTTTTTCTTTTTTTTTTTTGTAGCTTCCACTTATCTTTATGCAACTGAGTAGTAGCATTGGGAAAAATACTAATAAAGATATTAAAATGAAAAAATAATTTAGGGGCCAACAAGATGGATTAGTGAGTGGAGATGCTTACCACCAAACCTGATAACCTGAGTTCCATCTTGCAAATCACATAAAGATAGAAGGAGAGAACTGACTCTAAAAACTAGTACTCTGACCTCTAATCATACCACGACATACATACATGCACTTATAATAATAACAATAATAATAATATATAATTTTTTAATTTAAAAAAGAATTTACTTTTGGCATTGTTTTATATTCATTTTGTCCCCGAGAAGGTTGACCTTTCTCCATTTGGTTGACTTTGCCCACTATCATGAAGTTGACATCCCTTCTCTGCCAAATAATAGAATGGAAAAATAGCCAAAGTGCTTTATTGCAAAGTGTTTCAAATGGAGCTTTTTTAAAAAAAAAAAAAGACAGCAGGGCATGGTAGTGTACACTTTTGATCTCAGCACTCAGAGGCAGGTGGATCTCAATAAGTTCAAGGCCAGCCTTGTCTATAGAGCAAGTTCCAGAACATCCAGGACTCTATTACACAGAGAAAGCCTGTTTCAAAAAACCAAGAAAGAAAGAAGGAAGGGGGGGCTGGAGAGATGGCTCAGTGGTTAAGAGCACTGACTGCTCTTCCAGAGGTCCTGAGTTCAAATCCCAGCAACCACATGGTGGCTCACAACCATCTGTAATGAGATTTGATGCCCTCTTCTGGTGTGTCTGAAGACAGCGACAGTGTACTCATAAATAAAATAAATAAATCTTTAAAAAAAAAAAAGAAAGAAGGAAGGAAGGAGCAAAGGCAAGGAAGGGAAGGGAAGAAGGGAGGAAGGAAGGAAAGGAGGGAGGGAGGGAAGGAGGGAGAGAAGGGAGGGAGGATGAAGGCTGAAGCAAGAGGATTGCTTCAAGTTTAGGTCGAGCCAGGGCTACATAGCAAGACTGTTTCAAAGAATAAATAAAGATAAAATAGGTGGTGTAAACCTGCAAATCCCTGTGTGTGCTAGGTTGAGGCAGGAGGAGTAGTAGTTTAAAGGTCAGCCTGTGTGACATAGCAAGACACTGTCTTTAAACAAGCATACACTATGCTCTATTGTGTTTGTAAATAAAGTTTTTTTTCTCTATTTGCGAACAACAAAGGTAGAGGCTTTGGTTAATTACTGATTGTAAATAAAAAGAATAAAACCAGGTGTGGTACACATCTAGAATACCAGCACCTGGGAAGTGGATACAAGGGGGTTAGGTGTTCAAGGTCATCCTCAGCTATGTGTTGAGTTTGAAGCCATCCTTGTCTGTATGAGACCTTATCTCAAACAAAACAGGAGACAGAGAGTGAGAATGAGTAAATGGATATGCATGGTGGTGCATACATTTAATCCTAGCACTGGGGAGGCAGAGTCAGGTGGATCCCTCACCATGGGAGTGGGGGGAGGGGGGACTCATAAGAGAAAGAGAGAAAGAAGGTGGTGGTGGTGAGGGGGCATTTGGATTACATAACGAAGAACCTCTCTCCCCATGGTGACTTTCCTGGCCTCATTCCTGGGGACATGAACTCTCCCACCTGAGAGTAGTTTCCCAATAAATCTGCCTTCATATATACTTTAATCTAGCTTGAATTGGCTCATTTGACTAGTGGAGAAATAACATCAAATAGCTTCCCTGTGAAGGCTCAACCCAAACTTGAAGTAATCCTCCTGCTTCAGCCATCACTCTCCCTTAACTTTGATGTCCTTGCCTACAAGACTTCATACTGTAAAGAAACAAAAAGCACTAGGTGTAACATTGTGTAGCTGTAATTCCCATGATCAGGAGTTTGAGATACAAATTTTAAAGGAAATTGCAGGCTAGCCTGGGCTCCATAGTGAGGTTTGGGTTAGACTGGGCTACAGAATAAGATCCTGTCTCAGGAGGCTGGAGAGATGGCTCAGTAATCAAGAGCCACTTATGCTCTTGCAGAGGACTTTAGTTCAGTTCCCAGCACCTACATGGTGGTTCATGACCATCTTTAACTTCAGTTCCAGTGGATTTGACACCCTCTTCAGACCTCTGGGCACTGTGTTCACATACATGGTACACATATATGCATCCAAGCACAACACTAGTAAAATAAATCTAAGTTAAAAAATAAAAAGACACTGTATCAAAGAAGGAAAAAAGGGAGAGAAAGAGAAGGAAAGAGACCAAAGTAGTTGGGCCTTGTGGCACAGGCCTGTAATCCAAGCTGCTTAGGATAAGACAGGAAGAGCAGCAATCTCAAAAGTTCCATCCAGCATTTAGGAGATAGACCCAGGAAGAAGAGGAATTCACGATTGTTCAGAGCTCCATAGTGAGTGGAGGCCAGCATAGACTATCTAAGGCCATGTGTCAACCAATAAAAAGAGTAGCATTGTAGCTCAAACCTAGGTTCAGTTCCCCCAAAAAACCTCATGGAGTCCAGGTTTCATTTCTGTGTCTCAGAAATAATCAGTTTCCAACAGAATTGTATTTTATCTGCATGTGGTACTGGGAGGACTAGGAAGAGATGGAAGGCAGGATAAGAAGCTAACAGACATGGTGATAGGACTCGGTGTGATTACAGACCTCACTAATCTACCTAGCTTAAGTTTGATTTGGCGGGAAAATGGTTTTCCCATCAAGTACTTCTCTGTTCTGCCAAATTTTGTCCCTGTGAATCCCAGCACTCTGGATGCCTAGCAGAAGGACCAAAATTCAGGGTCTGCCTGGGCTGTATAACAAAACTTTTCAAAGTCAAAAAAAAAAAAAAAAAGAAAGAAAGAAAAGAAAAAGGAAAAAAGTATTGTCTTAGTTTTAAGCTTTGACTGTTGTGAACAGACACCATGACCAAGGCATGTCTTATAAAGTACAACATTTAATTGGGCCGGCTTACAGGTTCAGAGGTTCAGTTCATTATGATCAAGGTGGGAGCAGGTTAGCATTTTGGCAGGCATGATGCAGGCAGAGCTAAGAGAGTTCCACATCTTCATCTGAAAGCTGCTAGTGGAAGACTGACTCCCAGGCAGCTAGGATGAGGGTCTGACTAAAGCCCACACCCACAGTGATACACATATTCCAACAGGGCCACACCTTCTAAAAGTGCCACTCCTTGGCCCAAGCAGATACAGATCACAAGTATTCTTCTTTCCTGGGCAACAGGTCTCTCCAGCTCAGCCCACCCCTAGCACTGGGGGACGGCGACGGCGCACAGTAGATGAAGATCCAGATGAGCGGCGGCAGCGGTTTTTAGAGCGGAACAGAGCTGCAGCCTCCCGATGCCGCCAAAAGCGGAAGCTGTGGGTGTCCTCCCTGGAAAAAAAGGCAGAAGAACTTACTTCTCAGAACATTCAGCTGAGTGTGAGTGGTACTGGGTGACTGTCAGGATTGTGGAGTCTGGTGAGCACGGCTGAACCTGAGCAGTGCAGCAGCAGAACAGAGGACAGGCATTCTTTAATTAGGTTAGATCCAGAAGTGTGACCAGAAGTGTATATAATAGAAGTCCTATAATAGTCAGAATTGAAACCTTCCCCCTAGCTATTGAGAAGGAGACTATCTCCTTCCAGATCTGCCACTAGCACAAGACCCATTTGGGATTTGAGGATGTAACTCAGACACAATGCTCACCAGTCGGAAGACTGGAGAAAAGGAAAGATTAGAAGCATAGACCCATCTGGATGAAGGAAATCGGGTTAAGCACCCTGGGATATGTTTTCACAAATCATCAACAGAATCTGGCTGGAATTAGAGAACACCTAATGAACAATGTGTTTACTTGGGCTGGAAAGGTGGCTCAGCAGTTAGGAGTACTAAATGTTCAGCCAGCCAGGCAGTGGTGGCGCACGCCTTTAATCCCAGCACTTGGGAGGCAGAGGCCGGTGGATTTCTGAGTTCAAGGCCAGCCTGGTCTACAGAGTGAGTTCCAGGACAGCCAGGGCTACACAGAGAAACCCTGTCTCGAAAAACAAAAAAAATAAAAATAAAAAAGTAAAAAAATAAAAAATGTGTTTACTCCAGCTATTGTAGGTGTCTTAGAGTTTCTATTGCTGCGACGAGAAGAGACACCATGACCACAGCAACACTTTTTTTTGCCTTTTGGTTTTTTGAGGCAGGATTTCATTGTATAGCCCTGGCTGTCCTGGAATTTACTCTGTAGACAAGGTTGGCCTCGAACTTACAGAGATCTGCCTACTACCTCTGCCCCCTGAGTGCTGGGATTAAGACTACAGCAACTTTGATAAAGAAAAACATTTAACTGGGGCTGGCTTACAGGTTTCAGAGGTCTAGTCCATTATCATCATAATGGAAAGTAAAGCAGCACACGGGCAGACATGACGCTGGAGAAGGAGCTGAGAGTTCTACATCTGGATAGACAGGCAGCAGAAGAAGACAGTGAGCCACTGGACCTGTCTTGAGGTTCTGAAACCTCAAATCCCACCCTCAGGGACACACTTCCTCCAACAAGGCCACACCCACTCCAACAAGGCCACATCTCCTAATAGTGCCACTCCCTATGAGCCTATGGGCCATTTTCATTCAAACCACCACAGTAGGTTAATGAAAGGAAAAAAGGAGAAAAAAAAACATAAGCACAAACAGAACAATTGTAATCCATATGTTCTCTTGAATATTATTTTCCCTTCTTCGGTTTTGTTTTGAAAGTATATTTTATGGATCAGTAAGATGATTCAGTAGGTAAAGTCATCTGCCACCAAGTCTGACAACCTGAGTTCTACGATTGGAATCCACATGGTGGAAGGAGAGACCTTGTCCTTTGACCTCTACACATGCACAGTGTGGCATGCATGTACCCACCTATATACACATAATATATAATATGCACACAATAAATAAAGTACATATTTTTTAAAGATCTATTTATTTATTTTATGTATGTGAGTACACTGTAGTTGTCTTTAGATGCACCAGAAGAGGGTGTCAGATCACATTACAGATGGTATGAGCCACCATGTGGTTGCTGGGAATTGAACTCAGGACCTTTGAAAGAGTAGTCAGTGCTCTTAACCACTGAGCCATCTTTCCAGTCCCCATAAAATATATTTTTAAAGGGGTCAGCACTGATGGCTCAGGGGCAAAATGTTTACCACCAAGTCTGATGACCTGAATTTAATTTTCAGATCCTACAACTTGTCCTTTGATTTACACACACACACACAGACACACACACACACACACAGTGATATGCATATGTGCGCGCACACAAAATAAATTTGTTTTTATATTTATTCTTGACAATTTCATACCTGTATATAGTGTATCTTGTTTACATCCATGGCAACTTCACTTTTCTAACTATTAAAAAATTTCATTACAAAGGTACTAAATGAATAACTTTCTTTTATCTCAAACACACATGTATAGGGTAAAAACAAAGTTCCTTCATTTACCTTCCCAGTAACAGTCCTATTATCTTCCCTGTAAATAAAGGAGGTATAAACAACCAGACTGATATTTCTTTTTTTGTTGTTGTTGTTTTTTGGTTTTTTCAAGACAGGGTTTCTCTGTGTAGCCCTGGGTGTCCTGGAACTCACTCTGTAGACCAGGCTAGCCTCGAACTCTTGAACTCAGAAATCCGCCTGCCTCTGCCTCCCAAGTGCTGGGATTAAAGGCGTGCGCCACCACCGCCTGGCAGACTGATATTTCTGAATAGTTTTTATTTCTAGTTTTTGTGGTAGAATTGAAGGGATTGTGAGTTGGTTTAAACATATTTAACAGTATCTCATGGAAACCTAGTGAAGGAGATGAAGGATCTACCTTGTTCTTTTAAACTGCTATATATTTGTACGTTCTGAGTGTGTTGGGGTCTATGGATCAGTGGACACTAACACTGTTGTAATTGTCCATTGGAGCAATAGTGCTCCAGCAGACATTGCATGTACTTGGTTCTATTAAAAAGATTTCTGAGGCCAAGCTTGGTGATTTATTCCTATAATCTCAGTACTTGGGAGGCAGAGGCAGGTAGTTGGCTCTCTGTGAATTCCAAGCTGTTCTGGTCTACGAATGGAATTCCAGGCCAGCCAGGGTTACAAAGTGAGACATTGTCAAAAGAAATGGAGAACTTTCTTCTTGGTCAAAGAACTTTACATTATTAGTTTAAGGTTAATCAGATTTATCCCAGGTAACAGTCATTTTTCTTGTTATGAGTTCTTACTTTTCATTGTAAGCAGTTTCTGTCATTGACTTCATGACTATCCTAGCCCTGAGAAAACTTGGGAGATCATGTCCCAATTTGGGGAGGAAAATCTAGACAGCATTCTGCCCGTGTTCAACATTAGAACAATTCTAAAGTTAATATTACAATAAATGGTTTGCTATATAGATAGCAAAAAATTCTAATAAGTTCATATAAATGTTTGTTGTAGTGTTTTGATATAACCAACAGCCATTAGCAGTCCAAGAATAAAAGATGAGTTTTTGGTTTTGGTTTTTCAAGACAAGGATTTCTCAGTATAACAACCCTAGCTGTCCTGGAACTCAATTTGTGGACCAGTTAGAATTAAAGGCATGCACCACTACACCCCAATTGCTTTTTTTTTTTTTTAAATGAATTTTCTTAATACTCTTTACTTCTCTCCCCCCTTAGAATGAAGTCACATTACTACGCAATGAGGTGGCTCAGTTGAAACAGCTACTGTTAGCTCATAAAGACTGCCCAGTCACTGTACTACAGAAAAAGACTCAAGGCTACCTAGGTGAGTGATTCGTAACCTAAGCAAAATCAGTCAGTTGGTAAATCACAGGTACTGAGTGTCTTAGCTGTTCATAAAGCCATTCTTTCTGGTGCATCAGTCATTCATACATATATTTCAATCTGTAGTAGCAAGATCAGTAGTTCAGTCTTCAATTATAGCCAATAGCCAAAGTTTGAGGTAAGCCTGAGCTACATGAAATTCTCTTTCAAATGAAAAAATAAAGCTTTGACAGTAATGCAGAGTTATTGGTTCTCTATAAGCACTGGAGAGAAGAAGTACCATGCAGTATTTATTGGATCTGTTTTATTTAAATGCTTTGCCATTTTCACAGTTCTCCAATGAAGTAGCCATCCCATTTCTAAGTGAGAACACTGCTCAGATCAGATCACGTACCCGAGTCAAACAGTAGGAAATTGATAGAGAGCTTTTGATCCCAAAAACAGTCAGCCTAGAGAAAAGATGAACAGCTGATGATGCTTAGAAACTGAAAGGTTAGGACTTGAGGACAGATCTCACCTTCCTATAGCCCAGTCTTGATTTCAGTTTGTAATCAGAGAGTTCTACAGAATTGTGCTCAGCATTAACAGTGTTACAAAATACATACTACAATGAAAAATTTGTTATGGATAATTAAAACTAATAATTGCTAGTTTTCCTCTACAGACAAATGCATAGAAATACTAGATATGGCAAATAGTTTTTTTTTTTTTACTAGTTGCCTTCATCATTTCAGAGATGTGAAATATTTCTCAAATTCTGAGAAAAAATTTAAAAATCTTTATTAAATTATTTACTTAAATGTTAATATGTACTTCCAGGTGTGTTAATTTGTTAAGTAAGTACTGATGGAGTTGCTGTTCTGTGCTAGGCGTATTCTGGGTATAGCAGGAACCAAACAGATTAGGTTAGATCCCTGTCCTTGAAGACCTTGTACTTTAGTATGTACGACAAATTTAAAAATGTGAAAAATGTGGCTTGTGGTAAATGTGAAAACAAAAAATAATACAGCTGGGTATAGAGAAACTGCTACAAGGGGAAGAGCATTTACTGCTTTGCAGAAGGCCTGTGTTCTGTTTCCAGCACTCATAACTATCAATAACTCCAGTTCTAGGTGATCTGAGATCCTCTTTTGCTGTCTCAAGCACCAAGCACATACATGGCTTCTAGATGTACATGTGGCTCTGGTTGCCCTGGAACTCGCGATGAGGATCAGGCTGCCCTTACTTAACTCAGAGATATGGCTGCCTCTGCCTCCAAGGTGCTAGGATTAAAAGCATATACAATCAGACTCAGCAAAAATCTTAAAATAATAATAACAATAATAATATAATTGGAAATGGTGCTACAAGAATGCAGTCCCAGCATCCAGAAGGCTGAGACAGGAGGTTCATGAATTCAAGCCCATCCTGAGAGACCTTGTCTCAGAAATACAAACAAAAAAAGAAGAGAGGGAAGGGTCAGGCTTGGTGATCTATACCTAGAATTCCAGCACTCAAGAGGCAGAAGTGGGAGGATTACTGCAAGTTCAAGGCCAACCTGATCTATATCATGAATTCCCGGACTGCCAGAATACAGAGTAAGACCTGCCTCAAACACAGGCAGTGTGGATGTATGGGGCAGTGTCATTGGAATGAGAGGGAAAAGTATTGGAACATTTACACCCAGTCTTGGTAATAACAAGAACTTCAGCTTTGCAGACCAGAGGGTACAAAGCATAGGTGCAATATGAAGGATCTGATACTCGGCTGGAGACATCAGGGGTGCACGAGCAAAAGTAAGGCAGTGTACCTAGATCAACTATTTTAGATCCTGTTCATGGGCTAACGAGGATGAAGACTAAGTGTTCTTCAGTATGCAGTCAATATATAGTTTTCGACTCAGACCTTGTAATAACTCTTATTGGTGGTCAGTCCATTAAAGTACTAATTTATTACCACAAAGATGTGTTTAATTACAACTTTGTGACACCCACATTATGTAGGTATGTGATATAAGACATTGTTTCTACCTCTCAGAGATTCGTTGGGTCATTGTGGACCTGTGAATGAGAAAGGGCAGATAGAGCCCCGTGAGTGCCCTTGGACTGGGAGCTTCTGCTGTGTGCCCCAGTGCCCTCACATGTAAATGGTGCTCAGTAAGTTTCTGCCGAGTAAGTGAATATATGCCTTGAAAGCACAGGCGACAAGACAGTGTCCTGGAGGTAACAAAGTGTTTACTGAGGAAGCAGTATTTGAATCCTCTTGAATCCATTTGAAAGATGACTGGGACATTCATCAAGAGATCGATACACCAAACCCAGACATGGTGATACACACAAGTGTAATTAGAGCTCTTGGGAGGCAGAGGCAAGATTGAGAATTTGAAGCCAGCTTGAGCTACATGAAACAAAAAGACAAAACAAAACAATACACTTATTGGAAATTTTCCCTGATTTCATACATCTCTGTGGAAGCAGCTATAGAGACTAACATAACATTTAATAAAACTTGACCAACTACCGTTACCTTTGTATGCTGCTCAGATGTTGTGTAAATGTCAATAAAATGTTATTGTCACTTTAGATAGAATGGTATAACTTATAATAAATATTTTATGTCATCAGAGCATGGCTAAATGATAGGAGACTGACAGATTTTATATGTGTACATGTTTATGTGTTTTCTGAATCTTGGCTACTTATAGTGTCATTTGATTGTAACTTTGTATTTAATGGGCTTACATATAGTGCCAACTACATGCTAAAGGAACATTCTTTAAAATGGAATGGTTTAATTCCTTTGAAAATTAATAAGAGCAGACTAAGGAATCTATTTTAAATTGCTTTTGCAAATGATGGGATGGCTTAGCAGGCATATAGCAGGTTTAGCAGGTAAACGTACTTGATGCCTAGCCTGATGACTTGAGTTTGATCTAAGAGAACAACGCCCTGAAAGTTGTCATCCGGTCTCCACATGCATGCTTTGGCATGTGTGTGACCATACACATACATGCATGCATGCATATGTACATATATATACACAAATGTAAAATTTTCTTAAACAAATGGAAAAGAGATTTGTTTTCTTCTACAAACAGAACAGGTTTGAAGATAATTTTAGATAATTATGAATTATCTCTGGTCTGTCCTCACTTCCAAGTAGTCTTTGTTGATTTCTGGAGCCAATGGGTCACATCCCTTTAAGTTTTTCTTGGAGGGAACAAATGGCTTTTACTATTACCCACCTAGGATATAAATACAAGCCATAGGAGAACCTCCTCCATCAAAGTGTATTAAGTGTGATGCTGTGCCTGGCTTTTGGCTCAGATCTTATGTTTTATGTCAGAACTTATTTTTCATGCCATTCATGGCTTAAGGTCAGGATTCTGGAAAGTTCTTTCCAAAAAGAAAGATGAGATTAATTTTTCTTTACATTCTTTGTAATGATGACAAAGAAGAGTCCTTTCTGTTCCTCTGTCCTATTTTCTAACCTCTTGCTTTCCACTGTTTGCCCTCCTTCCTAGCAGAAAGTCCCAAGGAAAGCTCAGAGCCAACGGGTTCTCCAGCCCCAGTGATTCAGCACAGTTCCGCAACAGCCCCTAGCAATGGCCTTAGTGTTCGATCTGCAGCTGAAGCTGTGGCCACCTCGGTCCTCACTCAGATGGCCAGCCAAAGGACAGAACTGAGCATGCCCATACAGTCACATGTGATCATGACCCCACAGTCGCAGTCTGCGGGCAGATGATGCCTCCCATGATGGAGAGGTCCCCAGCCAGAGCTCGCCCGCCTGAGCCAAGAGAGAGATCAACTTACCCCTCCTGTCTGCCTTGGAATTGGCAGCATGGAGAGGGAGAAATTGTGTGTTGTGAGTATGGACAGATGTGGGGCTTTTCTCTTTAGCCACATGATCATGTACAATTAACACCTGTACTAGGGGCCCCAAAGCCACATAGATCTTCCCCCAAGGGTAGGGTTCTTATGTACCTATAGCCAAAGGCCTTTCCATATGGTCTGAGCAATCATCCCTGGCCCTGATGCATGTGTACCTGTCTCTTAACACTAACCCTTGCACTTGTAGGTTTGGGGTTTCTCAACGTCCTCTCCTTCCATTGAGCTGTGGCTGTTACCGTCTTATTTCTTACTAGCATGCCACTTCCTGCCGGATAGAGGGAGACGAGATTTGATGGCGTGTTACTTGCTGTCCCATCCCCAGCCACCCCATGCACTCAGGACTATGTCTCCCAATAGCTGCTTATTTGTCTCTTTCCCCTTTCCTAAACTGCAGTGAAAACATTCACTTGTTGAGAATGTAATACATTTAATGTATGAGGTAGCAGTGTTTCCCACCTCTTCCATGTGCTTTATTCCTATCTGCTACCAAAAACAAACACAAACAAAAGCAAAACTCTGAGAGTTTGAATCATTTTTCATTTCCAAATCTATTGGTACCTCATTTTGTCTCTTGACTTTCCTTAGTCTAGTGGTGGGATCTTTCCTACTTCCCCACTATGCCTTGGGAACCTCATCTTGTGGCCTTATTGTTAGTGGCAATGAAAAGGGACAGAGCCGGGGATCTAACTGGGCTTCCCTGTCTCCTTCCCTACCCTCCACTTCTAATCATCAGGGCAGACAGGAACAGTGTAATTTAAAACTTGTTCCATCAGGTTACTGGATTAACTGATTCTTTTATGTTTTACAAGAGTTTACTGGCCAAAGTCTACATATTGTCATCTTTGGTCATCTGTGCTCCTGCTCCACTTTGCTTCCCTGTCCACGTTAGCTCAGCTCTCCTAGGAGTTGTCAAACAGAAGCTGCTTCCATTCTCTGCCCCTCCTACAGCTCTCAACCTCCCTTCTTTTCTAAGGTATGTCTTGTACCCACCCACCAGTGTCCCGCACTCTCTCAACTACCTTCTCTTTTTCTACCTACCCACTAGCTGTCTCTAGTCCTGAAATTTCAGTGAACTTGTCCATGGTACGGGCTTCAGGGCTCTGAAACATCATGGTTGAGGTTATGGGTGCTTTTGAGTATAAGACTGAGTGGAGAGAGAAGGTATACATTTTCCTATGTATAATCTCAGCAGAGCACTCAGGATATGGCCTGTCTGTGAGATTGCTGTCTGTGACTGTTGTAACCCTTATTTTATGGGTTACAGAGAGAAAAATACACCCCTCCTCTTCATCTTTCCTTGGCCTACGGACAGATAGGTCAGCTTTAATAGCTCTTGGGTCGAGAATCCTCTCCTAGAGGATTTGTCCTAGAGCCACCTTCCGCCATCTGCTTGAGCCGAGAGTCCTCTTTTCTAGCTCCATCTTAAGTATGCAGAGTAACTGCTTGCTTCCTTTTATGTCTTCCAAAATTCACTGTCATGGAGGAATAAAGAAATGTTGTAGCTTATATGATTATTTCCTCAGAGTTTAGACTAGGAGTGAGCCTATCTTGTGACATGTTTGTATGTCTTATGTAAATTTCCCTCCTGTTTTTTGGAGGCAGTGTTGAACAGGCCACACCCAATAAAAACTAGGAGCTGGTTTTATAGTCTTCCCACAGGGGCTTAGCAGGAACAGCCCCTGAGGTGACAAGGCTAGCAAATATCACAGCAGATGGTTGAGGGCAGGTCACCATCTCCAGAGGTTTCACTTGGCCTTAGAAACTCACAGCCATAGTTTGAGCTCAGGACTTCTTTAGATGGTTGCTTCTTAGGAATTTTTTTTTCTTTCTTGTATATGAATTTTGTTTCTTTTTTTAAAATTGTCTTGACTTCCCAGGAGCAGCCTTACACTAAAGCATAGCTGAGCTTATAGCTCCCCAGGGCCACTAATAGACCGTTGGCTCTTTTTCTTTTTCTTCCATCATCAGTCAAGTGTTAAAGTCCGTATAGCGTACCAGTCTCGCCTGGGTGCATGCCTAATATATGTGGAAGTTCTTTTTCACTTTCTTGACCCTCGTGTCTGCTTCTCTTGCATCTTTATTTTCACAACAGAAAGTTAGTATTGGGGACCTGCCTTGGGTGTGACATGTCATAGAGGGGGTTCTGGTTGTGTCTATTTGGGGTTCAATATGCCTCTTGGTTTGGAAGTCAGTTCCTGTTCCTAGGTTTAGGAAGTTTTGTGGTATAATTTCATTAAATAATTTGACTAATTCCTTTCGAATTTATCTCAGGTCCTCCTTCTCCCCAGTGGCTTCTGAGGTTTGTTTGGTCTTTTAAGTATATCCCAAGCTTCTTGAAAATACTGGTCATGTTCTTTAATATCTATCTCTATCTCTCTTTTCTTTCTTTCTTCCTTTTTTTTGAGATCTATCTCCTCTCTCTCTCTCTCTCTCTCTCTCTCTCTCTCTCTCTCTCTGTGTGTGTGTGTGTGTGTGTGTGTGTGTGTGTGTGTGTATGTATGTGTATGTGTATATGTATATTATTGTCCCAACTTTGTGCTCCACTGTAGAACTGCATGATCTCATCTCTTGGGGACACTTTCTGGTGAGGCTTTTCACTTGGTTGTTTCTTTTATGTTAATTTCAGTTTCCTTCCTTTTCCATGTTTGAATGCCCTCACTAAAATCTCCCTCCATATGTCTGACTTTCTCCTCCAACTTACCCACTGTTTTGTTCATTTTGGAGGCTTTGCATGCAGTTCCTAGTTCACTCATGTGTATTTGAGACATCTACATCGACTCTGAATTCTTTCTCAGACACCTCAGTTCTTCTGGTTTTCATTAAGGAGAGGTTTGTAGTGTGCCCTAGTTCGCTGTTGTCTCATGTTCTTTGTGTTTCACTGTGGTGTTTTGTGCATCAGTCAGAATGGATATGTCCTTCAGTTTTAACTCACCTTTTCCCAACTCTGTTTTGTGTAACTGAGCCCTTCTTCAGAGTTCTGTCAGAAAGGAGCTGAGAGTGTGATGTCTTAGACCCATGAGTTGTCAGAGGCCTGGTCTGTGCCCTTGCCACCCTCTCCATATAACATAGAGTGTTCAGAGTCTCAAAAACTAAGAAGCCTCCCAGCACCCAGGGAGAGCTGGAAAGGATGTGTCTCCTTTACTTCTTTCCTGTTGGCTGAATATGCCAAATCTGCCTTCCTCCTCCTTCCTCCACTCCTACCCATGGCTGTAAACAGCAGACCACATACTAAAGGAAGCTGTGCTGGTGAACCTTGCCTTGCTGCCTGCCTTCCCTCTCCCATTCTGTAGCTCTTGACACCTTTCTTGATTCACCTCTCCCATCTCCTCAGGGACCTCCACCATCATCCTGAGAGATATAACTGTACTCAGTAAAGCCTGAACCACCAAAAAGACACACACAATTCTTCCTCTGGCTTCTAAGAGGTTCCTTAAAGGTGCTAACTTTTGAGATCACTCTCCCCTTTCATAACTTTCTTCCCATCCTCAGAACACATTTCCATTAATATTATCTAGTGTACCCACCAAAAAGAAATATGTACTTCTTTTGAAAAGAAAATCGTAGTCTGTTTAGACGAGTCTTGCAGCTGTGTCACACATGCCTTTGTTGATATGCTTTTTCCTTTCTTCAGACATGTTTGACCAGGGTGGGAGGTGTGGTGGGACAGGACAGGTGAGGATCCTAAGGCCTGTCAGAAGACCCTACACCACTCCAGTCCAGCTAGACATTCTTCTTACAAATTCTGTTTCTGTCTGTATACATCCATATGCACAGACAAATTCCCCTACTCCACCAGCCTGGTGATCCCACAGCAATGAGCAGTGTCTGCTGGCCACATTCCCACCCTCTGCACTGTTACTTTGAGGTAAAAATCCTACTCTAGAATGAACAAAGGCTGGTGAGTGTAGGGCAGATTAAGGCAGCTTATGTCCTTGTAGATGCAAGTTTCTGTTTCAGCTATTAGATGTTTGTTTTTTGTTTCGTTTTTTAATGTAGAACTGGTAGGCTATGAGCCAGCAACCGTGAGTAAGGCTTTAGCTGTTGAGTGGCTGTGAGCACTAGTTTCACTGACTTTACCTTCGGGCAGTGGTTCTCAGAACATGGTCCAAGGGCAACATGAGCAGCACCATCACCTGGAGAGCGTGCTAGAAATGTACTCTCTTGGCTATCCCAACCTCCTGAGTTGGCCACTCTGAAGGTGAGCTTTAACTAGCAGTCTCTGCTGCTGGTCCACACTAATGCATGAGAGTCCCTAGAGGACAAGCTGGGAGCATCTTGGCGCTGGGGTGACACAGATTACTTTAAATGTCTTCTCTGCCTTATAATTGATGTTTTTATTTCTCCCAGTCCTTTCCTTCACTTCCATTAAAACAGCCACCACCACATCACTCATCTCAAATTCTAAGTTGGTCTTCTGTCTAGTCTTAGCTCTGAAACTCTTGCCTGCTTTGGTCTGGGCAGAACCTACTCATATTGTCTTACAGGCCACTAGTTCTGCATTCTTGATGACATTAACCAGCAGGAAGGCCAGGAGTGGTGGTGGCACACGCCTTTGATCCCAACACTTGTGAGGGAAGCAGAGGCAGGCAGATCTCATTGTGTTCAAGACCAGACTGGTCTACATAAGGAGTTCAAAGCCAATCATAGCTATGCAGTGAGACCCTGTCTCAAAACAAACAACAAAATCAGCAAGAGCCTCAGTTGTCCATTTCTTCCCTGTGCACACACACATCTCTTGCAGGAAGATTAGCCTCCACCCCACAGTGGAGCCTCCTACATCCTGATAGAGTATATGTTGAGAAGAAAGCCATGTGTATCTATGAATATTATCTCTGTTCTCCTATATCCTTTTGACATGTAGCAATACCTCTCCATCCTCAAGGAATTCAACCCAGTGTGGGTCTCCCAGGCTCCAGTGGTAGACTCTGACAGGTGGGAGGATACAGTGCTCTGGGCTGTTTTGTTACAAATGTGTCTTCTGTCCTTTCCCTCCACCCAATTCAGCATGACCCCTGTGAGCAGGCTCTCACAATCTCCTGGGGCAGGGCTGAGGCAGGGGCTTTCAGCTCTTCTCCGTAACCGTCCCTTCTTCCTTCCCCCGTGCCATTTAGCAGTTATCACCCAGCCTTGCCTTCTCCCTTTATCCTTTGCCCTGTCATATACTGTGCCTTATTTATGCTGCAAATATAACATTAAACTATCAAGAGAATCAGTGGTATGTTTGGTGCTTCCCTTCGCAGACTCATGGGGCCCATTGGTCACTCCTAGAGACTCACTAGGCTTTCATGTCTGACCATCCTTCCACTTCTTAGGGCAGAAATCGCAGGTTCTCTTATCTGCTTTCAGTAAGTAACATAGTGTTAGAGAAGGCACAGAGTTCAGATCTTTAAACCACCTCAGAGCCAAGGCATCACAAAAACACTGACCAGAGAACTTACTGTGTGCTCCTTGTAATGGGAGTGCTGCACACCCAGACCTTCTTCTCCTTCAGTGTTTTATGCTCACTTGTTTCCAACAATTGAAAGGAAGGAAAAAGTCCTACTCCCAAGAAAGACATTTGGGAGTGTAGATAGAGGTAGAAAAAGTCAAGCTTTCTCTAGAGAGAAGAAAGAAGGGCTGGAGAGATGGCTCAGTGGTTAAAAGCAAAAACTGCTCTTGCTTCAAAAGATCCAAGTTTGGTTCCCACATCCACTGTTGGCTGGCTTACCGCCACCCTTAACTCCAGCTATAAGGGATATGGTACCCTCTTCTGGCCCCCACAGGCACTGCACTCACTTGCATAACCCCTCCCCCAGAACACACACATAATTAAAAAGTAAAAAATTAATAAGAGGAAAAGCCTGGCAACTCGAGGCAAACTTTGTAAAAGCAGATAAAAACTCACAGGAGAACAGGTAATGATCAGGGTGAGGAAGATGGACAGGTGAGCCACTGATCTTTCTTGTGTCTGACTTCCTATATATTCCACTAAAAGTGGAAACCACCAGTGAGACAGACTAAAGAACCTGACAAATGACAGAAGAGGTGCCTCTAAGGTTTCCTGGTAGAAACAGATTTACCATCTAGGTTGGCGTTTTGTGGAAGACTTGGAGCCTCCTTAGGAAATGGAAACCCTGTTGTTGGCCTTCACTGTGTGGGGCTGGCAAGATTGCTGCCAAACTTGAAGACCTGAGCTTGATTCCTGGACACACGTGCTCTGTGGGGCATGTGTCTCACCTTCTCCCCAGGTAAATAAATAAATGAAAAAGTGGTGGGGAACACGTTGTGAGTCCAAGAAAGAAAGAGCATTATCAAAAGCTAAGACTGAGAGTCTGGGGCTGGAGAGATGGCTCTGCGGTTAAGAGCACTGGTTCTTCCTTTAAAAAAAAAAAAAAAAAAAAAAGCCTGGGAGAGGACTGGAGAGAGAGGACTTGGTGGTTAAGAGCACTTGCTGTCCTCCTAGAAGACTTCAGTCTAGTTCCAGTCAGGTGGCTGACATCTGCAGTTCCAACTCCATCGTATCTGACTCTGGGCTGGCCTTCCCAGACACCTGCTCTTGCAGACAAACAATTAAAAAATTAAAAAAAATTTTTTTTTTTCCAGACAGGGTTTCTCTGTGTGGCTCCAACTGTCCCGGAACTCACTCTGTAGACCAGGCTGGCCTTGAATCCACCCTACCTCCCAAATGCTGGGACTAAAAGCATATGTCACCACAGCCCAGCTGAGATCCTGTATTTATTTACTTATTTATTTATTTATTTTATTTATTTATTTGGTTTTTCGAGACAGGGTTTCTCTGTATAGCCCTGGCTGTCCTGGAACTCTCTGTAGACCAGGCTGGCCTCAAACTCAGAAATCCGCCTGCCTCTGCCTCCCAAGGCTGGGATTAAAGGCCGCCACTGCCAGAGAGATCCTGTATTTAAATAAGTCTGGAAAGTGATAAATAAAACTAAGTCTAGAAGGTGAGAATCCTAACTCAAGACAGTATAAGAGGTTATCGTGATTAACTTTCGTTGAGGTTAGAGGTGCCTGCTCTACAAATTAGAAGTGAGCCAGCTTCTTTGTGAGTGTAGCTTCACCCCAGACTTTGGTACTCAAGCAGCAGTGCAGTGAACAGTGGCTGCTCTGTTCATGGGCCAGTGCGACTGGTATGTACTCAGTCCATTTGCTGTTATTGGCAGCCTCTTGATAACAGGGGTTAGATTTTACTGTTATCTGGTTGCTGGAGATTGTGCTCAGGGGCCTCCAGCAAGTTGCTTCTTTGTTTTTGACTTGTTTTGAGACTGGGTTTCTTTGTGTAGCCTTGGCTGTTCTGGAACTCACTTTGTAGAGGAAGCTGGCCTCAACTCAGAGATCAGCCTGCCTCTGAAGTCACAGGTTGAATTTCAAGAGCAAAGATAAAAAACTGAATTCCTGCCAGGTGTGGTGGTGCACATCTGTAATCCCAGGACTTGGGAAGCATACTGGGCTATGTACAGAGTCCCAGTCTTAGAAAACCAGACAGGCCGGGCACTGTGACACACACCTTTAATCCCAGCACTTGGGAGGCAGAAGCATCCTAGTCTACATAGTAAATTCTAGGCCAGCCAAGGTTATGTAACAACACCTGTTACACACACACACACACACACACACACACACACACACACACACGTGGAGAGAGGGAGAGAAACCAAGAAGATCCATAACAAAAGCAGTCAGCTGTTTTAACTATAATGCATGACAAGCTCTATGGGAAAATCATGAGACAAAAGCTTACAGAAAGATTCGCCCAGCCCAAGTCTGGAGATGTTGTATTTTAGAACATCACATAGAAACCTGATTTAGAAGGTCTCCCTTTGCAGTAGAGCACCTGCCTAGCATACACAAGGCTCTTTATTTGGGTTTGATTCCCAAGAGAGAAAATTTAAAATGCCACTTATCCACAAACCTAAAATCTAAGTTGGTTCCAATAAAGTGCTTCCCCATTGAGCAAAGATGTGGATACATGGTTATGTCTCCAAATATGTGAGGGGCTTTTAGATATGGACTGAGAGATGTTCTGAGACTCCATTGAACAAGCTAGGACCTCTGGTAGAGGCCATCAAGAAGCTGAAGCCCGCTCAGCACTGTCTCTGGAGACGGTAAGTTCCCCAGAACTGGAGTGGGAGGAAAGCAAAGGGAATCACATTTGACATTTCGAAAACACCAGGTCTGTGCTTTCCTACAAAATGCATCCCAAATGTTTCTCCGAGCAAGTAATTCATTTTACTGTTCCCATATGTGAGGAAAAGAATGTGAGTAGCTTGCTTTGCTCATGGGGTAGAACCCCCGACATGGTCCTTCTTCTGTTTAGGCTAGAGACATGGTACACTGACATCTGTAAGTGAGATTAGGACTCAGGGTTTGAAGGACCCTTCCCTGACCTGGAGTGATTGTCTTTCCCTAAAGCAGGGCCCTAGTCGCCAGATCCAGTAGTACATTAGAACCAGAACCAGGCAGAGGCCCTGCTGACCAGAGGGAACTGGAACAATGTAACAATCCTAGGCACCAAAGAACCCTCCTGAAGTCCTCCTAGACAAAATGCTTGGAAAGGGAAATGGCTGGACGTGGCAGTGAAGAGTAGTGGCCACAAGGTGGCAGCAGAGTTTCAGCTGTGGAGGCCCATTCCCCAGTTCTCTTGCAAAGATGGGCCTGTCCACAAAATTTACAAGCCACTCAGTAAGGCTCCAAAAAGGGTCTCCTATCTCTCACTATCTCCTATCTACAGGTAAATCTTAAGAGTAGTGAGCCCACATTTAACCTCACTAGAAGCAATAGGGATTGAAATTGGCTGTGGTCCTGACCACCTAGGGACCAAGCTGGGTCATCCTAGCCTGCTCTTAACCATAGTTCCTTCCTATCCAGGAGATAATGCCCAATCCTGACAGGAGTTTCTCCAGTCAGGAACAAGAAGTGATCAATTGAAGCTTCCCCAACCTGTTGAAGGATTAGAGGTTCTTGTAAGGTTCCCCCAGGGCCTAGCTCTGACAAACTGTCTGCAATTAATGATGCTTCCTGAGCTCTGGAGACAAGATTTATGCATCTAATAAAGTCTATAACTCCAGGCTTAGGCTGGAGGTAGGAAGCTGAGAGCAGAAAGTCCCCAGGGGGAATATGGGAGGGGGTCCCAGGTGGCTTTTAATAGAGCCATGCATTTCCACTGCCAGTCGATTTCCCCCCAGGCTGCTGATGAGGTGGGGGTAGGGGACATCAGGTATAAGAAGACCGTGGGCCACTGAGGAGGCAGATGGCAGCATGGATTCCAAGTGGGCTGCTGTGCTGCTGCTATTGCTGCTGCTGCTGAACTGGGGCCACACTGAAGAGGCAGGGAGCTGGGGTGAAGAGCACGTCTTTGCAGTGAGTGAGCATCCTGTTGCCCTATCCACTCAACTGCCATCTCCCCCTCAGCTGAAACTTACGATGCAGTGTTTGATGTTCCCTAGGCTGCTAAGGTCTTCAAGAAGTCTGGCTTCTAAGGGAGGGAAATGGCTTCTCAGCCTATGCAAGATTCCACTAGAAGCCATTCTTTCCCTCCAAGTCTTCAGTGTACAAGACATTGCCAGGTTCCTTCCCTGCCACTCTCTCATCACAGGAAGAAGATAAGGGACTCCACCCACCACAGTATGCCCACACTCCAGACAGGATCCAGATTCCTGGGTCCCTCTTGCGTGTTCTGCTCCAGGCCATGGAGAGACCTAGAAGGAATCCAGCCTTCCTGTTTCAGCCCCAGAGGTGAGTTCCAAAAGGCAGAGGCTGGGAGGGTGAAGGGTAGAGGAAGATGTAAGGGAAGGCGAGACAGAGGGAGTGCGACTAAGGATGAATCTCTCCTAAGGTTTGGCAGGAATGCTTGGGGGTCCCGGAGCAAGGAGCAGCTAAGTCCCCAGGCTAGAGAGTTCTGGAGCCTGGCTGCTCCTCAGCGCTTTGGAAAGAAGTAACATCATCTGCTGTGATGTCTGCATGTAAAATTACTTCCCCATGTACCATGTGTGCCCCTAAATAAAATGGTCTGGCTTCTGAATCCTTGTGTTTGAACAGATTTTCAGGGAACAGGTGGGAGCCCAAGGGCAATAGTTATAGCCCCCTTCACCTCCACTCAGTCAGTCTCCAGCCATTCTGTTTTAAGAGTCCCCAAGGCTACTGTACCTTGACTCCTTGTAACAAAAAGAACAAGAGGTTCAAAAGGAGAACAAACACACCATATTTATTCCTCTGACACCCTCATGACCCAGGGCTAGAGAAAGCAGGGTTTAGGAAGCCAAAAAGCAGCATTTATTCTGGACTCCAATAGAATTCCAATTTCCTTTCCATTCATCATCCATGGAATGAGGGCAAATCCTGTGCTGGCTGGGTCCCTGTGGTTCATGGCTCCTTGCTTGCCTGTGTCTTCCTCAGTCTCAAGGCAGGCAAGCTATGTCAGAGGTAGAGATGGCACCTCTGGAGGGTACCAGAGCTAGGTGGATGCATGGACCCAGGGGCAGAAGGAGGAAGAAGTAAAAGATGCACATCCATCACTGCAATGGGGTGCTACTTGCTACCCGCCATGATCCTGAGGTACTGTAGGGCACGGCGAGCAGCATCACCTCGGGCTGCCTCCCTGGTAATTGCAGAACCATAACACACAGTGGCTGGCTGGGTGGACAGTTCCACTAGGCACTGGCAGAGCCCACTCAGGCTCAGTTCCTCTGGAAACCAAGAAAGAGGAGGGAGGCACTGGTGGGGAGGGGGCACCAAACAGTGTACATCACCCATCTCCCAACTCCTTTATACTTGCTTTGGTCCAGTCCCCTCCATCCCCAGTTTCTAGCTGGCCATACCAATATCCAGATAGCTGACATGGAAAGCCTGCTCCTCAGACAGCTCACTGAGGACGCTGCAGCAGGCAGAGCCCAGAGCCCCTAGAGAGCCCACGGAGCAACTGCGAAGGGACAGGATCTTTTCTCCCACAGAATTCCGCAAGGAATCCCAGGTGCAGCCTGGCCCACGGTTCCTCAGTCCATCAAGGCGGGAGCTCACGCCCTAATGAGATAAGGGTGAGAAAGCAGCTGAGGACTGTGGGAGCCAAGAGCCGGGCATGCTCTGACTACTGGCAGCCTTCCTCATCCCAGGAAAAGTTGCCTACAGGGGCTTTGCCCTAGGACAGCTTTCACTAGTGACCCAACATACAGGCTAAGGGACTGCTGGGCTCACAGGTTCAAGGAACCCTGGGAAGAGAAGCAGGTCCAGACTCACTTCCAAATCACAAACCCAACCCAATTCTGCACCATGTCCTGCAGTGTGAACTACGTGGCGAGCCCACATAAGCCACTTACGATGGAAAAATGATCATCGTCAGGCTCTGCCTCATTGCCATCCCGGGCATCCAGAGGTACTGTGTGCACTCGAAGGAGCATCTTAGCTGCTGCATTACGTTTTGCCAGCTTTTTGGAAGTGCCGCTGCCTGAGGGTGGAGAAGGAATTGTTCGATTTGAGGATTCCTAATAGACCAATGTTTTCCCTCTAGGTTAACTTCGATAGAAGGTCCCCCAACGGGATACCACTGCAAAGAGGAGCTCAAGGCCTGTTCTTTTTAACTGAGGAGTTGGTGAGCCAGAAAAGAGGGGGAAAGACGGGCAGGGACAAGGAAGAGACAGGAAGGCAAGAGCTAAGCAAGGACTTCCAAAGCAAAGAAAGCTGGGACAGAGCACAGCCAGGCAAAGAACCACCTTGTGCTTGGGGTTACAATGTGGCAGAGAGAGAACGTGAGTGAACCCCCTTTTTCCCAGTTACCAATCTCAATGAAACGTTCCACCCGGCAGGTCATGGTAAACTCTTTGCGGTGAGCAGGCCCAGACTCCTGGGTCACCATGTACTCTGGCAAACGCCAGCCTTTTTGCACAACCAGCTCCTTGAAAGAAAAACATAAGATGGAGTCCAAGGCTTAGTGAGGAAAGGCTCCTTAGCCACATGGCCTTCTACCAAGAGCCGCAGCCTTTGAATGAGAAGGATGACCACCCCACCCACAAGTGCACACATCCCTGCCTCACAGCCCTAGTTGAGAGACAGCACACATGAAAATGAAGATGAGGCACACCTGCAGAGCACCAACAGGGTTGCACTCAGACTGCTGAGGAGAGACAGGGGGCTGCATCTCCATGGGAGGGCTCCTAAAGGAAAAAGGGCCCAGGCCAATGCTGAGGAAAATGGTTCCTTCTGTCCTGGTCATGGATCAAGTGCCAGCCACTGCCACCTCCCAATTCCTCACCAGGCAGGCAGCTGTCTGTCCAAACATTTGCTTCACCCTCCCACACTCCCCACCAAGTGAGGCCCTGCTACTTCCCAAGAGCATTCAGATGTGGAAATACTTCAGCAATATCCCTGTGATGGAGGTAGGTAAAGTTGCTGTACAGCCAATCCTCGAAGTACGTTTTTAGGTCTCAAACATGGGAGTCTGTAAGATGTTTAAACAATCTAACATTCGTCACCTGGCTATTTAAGCATCATAAATTACCTCCTATCTCAGGCTTACCAACCAAATAGTGCAAATTTTTCAATTATGCCATTCTGTGTTTACTCTCAGGCTTCCTCATCCTGACCTGCCTGGGTCCAAGATCCCCCTCCTTCCTCCAAGATGTCAGGGGACTCAAGATACCTGGTTAGTACAGCAGATGGAACAGGGGCAACAGCTTCTGCAGCGATGACAGGAGTGTCCTCAGGCAGTGAAGAGTCTAGGAGAGAAAAAGAACTTCCCGAGGGGAAGAGGGCCTTGGATTCACACCCATGTAGAAGGGAATGAGGGTGTGAGGTCCTTCTGACCTTTCCATCCCCTGAGAACCCCTTCCCCCTGATGCAGACTCAGAGAGTCTCAGCAACAGCTCTTCCTCCTAGGATCCTCTGCTGACCCACACTGGCTCAGAAGCACCGAGGTTGGGCTGGGGGCTCAGAAAAGAGAGTCTCTTCCTACCCAACAAGCTGCAACCTGAAAGTGGAAGAGGGAAAGCCATCTTGCTAGAAAGAGGGGGCATGCCGGGACCAACTTTTCAGTCTAAGCCTCCACCCCCTATGCCCTATCTCATGCCCCAGAGCAGCCACCACCCGTCAAAGCAGCTGGCTATTACTCTGAGGCACCCTAGAAACACCCTATTCAGCTTGAGAGGAAATTCTCAGGAAGGAGCCACAAGAGGGTGGCCATGAGTCACCAGACCAGGCTTAGGGAGAGAAGTAGGTAGTGCAGAGGCCTGGGTTCTCAGCAGGGCTTCTAGTGTGCCTTGGCTGTTCCTCCCTCACCTGCTGTCCTCCAGGGCTGGTTCCAGCATGCTCCCCCCTTTGAGGTGTTTGAGGGCCACCTCAGCTGCCTTGTGCTTGGCTGCCTTCTTGCTGGGGCCCTGACCTAAGAAAAGGGGTGTGGGCAATACTGGAGGTCACTGGCAGGACAGCAGAGAAACCAGCCCCCACAGCCTCTCTCCTCATAGCCAGAGGGAGTAAGAGCCCTCTGACCAACCTCCCCTCTCAGAACTGGAAGGATTCTACGAATTGTTAGAATAGCCTTTGTCCTAGTTAGTGTTAACTGTCAACTTGGCACAACCTAGGATCATCTGAATGGAGAGCCTTGAGGAATTGCCTGGATCAGCATGGGCGTGTCTTGGGGGGCGGGGCGCTGGCTTGACTGTTAATTGATACAGATATGCCCAGCCCACGATTGTGATACCATCCCGAAGCAGGTGGTCCTGAACTATGTAAGAAATCTATCAGAGTGTAAGTAAGCCTGCCAACCACCACGGAGTAGCTACCATTGTCCCTGTCCTGCTTCTACAGCTGTGAAGTGAGACCCTCGGTCAGAGGGAGCAAGGATGAGTTTTTCTTTAGTCTTGACTAATAATTTCAGTTTCTTCTTTAGCTTCCCTCAGTGATTAATGTAGTCTGAACTGTAAACCAATCAACCCTTTCCTCCTCTAAACTGCTTTTGGTTAAGGACCCTTATTACAGGAATAGAAACGGGCCTTGAACACCCCTTGTCTTTCAGGCAGCTCCTGTAATTAAGCCATGCCAGGCAGGACTTCTGAGCTCCAACAGTGGTGGACTCTGGAGGGATGTTTTGCTCTTTCTTTCCTCTTTTCTCTTCCCTCAGTAAATAGGACATAGAGACAACTGAGGGTCTGTTCTGAAGTCAAAACTCTGCTCTGCCACTTATTAGGCATGTGAACACGAGCCCGCCATTTAATTTCTCATACTAAGTTCTTGGTGTTTGGTGTGAGGCATGAAGGCTAGCAGAGTGTGTGCTTGCTCCCCCTAATACCCGAGAGGAATTTCAGTGTCTCATTTACTCTTCCTCTGGGGTGATAAAGTAACAGATCCCTGTGACATTTCCTGTTCTCGCCTCAGTCTTGCCTGAGCCTCTCAGGTCCTGTCCACCGTCTCACAGCCCTGTTCCAATCCAAACGGTGGGCTTTTCCCCTGAAATCTCTCCATCCCTCCCTGGCCCTAAAGGAGAGGGCTGTGAGGTGATTCCATGATATTAAGCCACGGGCCCTGTGAATGCACTCCCCAGCCAGGCTGCCCAGGCCTTCCTCACCAGTGCAGCTGGTGTCGCCAACGGTGACCCGAAAGGTGAAATTAGGTTGATGGGCTTGGCCCTCGGCTTTGAGAAGGTCGTACACGGGCGTCTTTCCTATTCTGGTCCCATACTCCTGAAGAAGGCTGATCGGGGTCTTGCCCGGGTTGGCGGCCAGCATTTGCTCTATGCTGGGAAGGGGCACAGACCAACATCACACTTCCCCTTTCGGCACCCACCTGGCCAATCACTGTCACATTAGACCTAGCCACATTATAGGGTCCATGAATCCCCAGGCAGTATGGCATCCACTGACTGGGTTAAAAGTTAAGGTGCATGGAGGGAGAGCAAGGTTCCAAGGCAAGTGGAGAATGTAGTGTTCTCAGTTACGGCGAGGGATCCTGTGCCGTAGTGCTGGTTGGACGTGCATTTCCCCCTGGCACAATGCAATTAGGGAACCCAGTACCCACCAAATACACTGAACGTCGGGG